AACAGTTTAAAAAGGAGTAATTTATAAACTGTCTAAATTTTTAAAAAGGAGTAATTTATAAACTTGCAAGACTTTCAGATACTGAAAGGTCTTGGAAGTAACATGAACAGGAAAACAAAACTAGACAGTTGTGGTTTTGGAGAAGCACGGCTCGATCAGACAATTACTCTTAGCTGAAATAAAAGCAATTATGTCGCTCTAAAGATGAAATTAACAAGAGAGAGAGCAGGAGAGAAATGGGAAGAAATAATATATGAATTGGCGGAAACAGACTTGAAATTTCGAGGCATTCCAGAGGGCTCAGAAAGGGGCAATTTATTTATATTCTTGGAAATATTTATTTCTTAGTATATTTGGTTATATATTATGGGTAGGATCCTTAATAAAGCTGGAAAACTTGGACCAGTGGATGTGGATTTCCCCGTCACCGTCATGTATTCATAGCATCTTCAGCCCCCTGGAAATTCTATCCAGAGTCAGGAGCCCCTGCTGAATGGGCTGATTGGTGGTGCAGAGGAAGGGGGGTCCCCAAAATTGGATAAAGTAAGCCTCTTCCTTTCGTAGTAGTTCACTTCCTCTTATAGAAGGGAGATTCCAGACTCAGCCTCATGTGTCTATTGGACATGGAGTCTGCTTTAGACTCTGTTCTTTGCTCGTGTCATGAAATTGGAGTATCCATGGGATGTCTCAGTAGTATTTATAAGAATTAAGAATTAAAGAAGCAGAGGAATACACATAGCAGGGCACAGAAAATTGATTACGTTAACTAATGAGGTAATGTCAAAACTACATAATCTGCCTGTAAATATGTTATATTGCTAGCTTTTAAAGATCGTTACCTCTTTAATGCTTTCATTTTCACATATTTTAAAATTGCCAAAGGTTCCAGAAAAATAATAAAAAGCAAAAAAAAAAAAAAAAAAAAGAACCTTGACGTAAAATTATTAGATAACTTTGTGGTGGGTTCACCATTAATCCCCATTCATTTGCCTTTGAATTGGTCTAGCATGAATTGATGTTCCAAAACAGATCACATTATCCCAAAGCTTTGAACAAAATCAGCCATTCAAGGCATAAATAAACTTAGCAGTTGTGGCCCTTGGTTTTAATATCATGCTGTGAGATGATGTTGTAGCAATTCCATGAAATACTTCATCATTACTTGCTCCATGTCAGGTTCAGAAGTGATTAAATTGGAGGGAAATCTCTCCTTACTTATTTTGGCTTCGTCATCTTTTCAGTGCGAAAGGTGCAAACAGATTGATCTCTTGGTGCTACGCCTGGGAATTTTCCACCCAGCAGCTGCATTAATTTGTTGGCAGAGTCCCACTGAGAGGTTGTGGCCTTCTATCCGCCTGAGTGCTGATTCCTGATATGTGATGACGTGATAAATGTCAAGGACGGGATGGGTAAAATACCTGTTCTTTTAATAAGGCCAGATACAACCTTCCTGGTGAAGACCAACCTGATAATACATGGCTGTAAGCCAGTGTTTATCCAACTGCTTTGCACAAATGTCCCAAAGAATGAAATGGGTTGATATTATTGCTCTTATCGAGTCTTTTAATTGATTGTTACAGCATTCCGTGATGTTCTCCTTAATTAGTTTTAAAAGATAAAATAAGCATAAATGGATGGATGGATAAATACTTTTTCAGACATAGGGAGCCCTTTCCAGCAACTGGGAAGGCCCACGGTAAGAATGATTTTATCCCTTAAAGCTGAGTAAACCTCAAGTACTCTACACATGTTGGGTACCATCCAGAAAAGGTTTAGTCACAGCTGATTCACTAGTAATGCCTTAGTTGTAAACTGCCCAGAGAACTTTGACTATGGGCAGTATAGAAATGAAAATGATGGTAGTGATGATGATGATGATCGTTGAGAAATTTATGTCAATCCCCCCTCAGTCTTAGAGGGAAAAAGGCCTTGTTCTCACTCAAGGCATTAAGTGTATCTTGATGGTACCACTTCACACGACGAGTGGGTTTTGCGCGACACACTGCCTGTCCATCCCAAAGAATTCCTTCTGTGTAGAAGACTAGATGTCAGAGAAAACATCTGACCTTGCTTTTCCCTGACATGGTAGTTGTCTGTGTGCAAGGAAATTGTGTCAGTCATGGTGGAAGAACATGTCAGTTCAGATGAATTTAGCCTTTCCCAGACGTCTTTCAGATACGCTTTTTTCCTATATGGAGGAACTGATTTTGACCAGAGGTGTATTCAGTCATGTCCAACTCCACCTGAGGTTGACAGGGACATAAGAAGAACTATGTTGAATCAGACCAAAGATGTATTTAGTCCAGCACTGTGTCCTTGTGGGGATCAACCAGCAGCCTGTGGGAAGCTGGTAAGTAGAGATGAGTGCTATAGTTTATGTTCTCCAACTGCTTAGCCATGCTGCCTCTGATACTGGAGTAATTCAGCCTAAATACAGTTTCACCTGATGGAGAACTAGACCTCAGGGGGTTCAAAGCGCAGGTGGATTGTGCCCATTAGGGTGACATTGGTTGTCTAAAGAACACATCACCTGCATCTACTGTGGACTGAATTTGAACACACACATATCAATAAGATATGGTTCCAGTCCTCATTGGGCTGTACAGCTTCAGAATTCAGTGAGACATTTCCATCTTCAGATACTTCACCATGTGAAGAAAAGCAAGACATTTTCCTCAAACAAAGAAGGCTAATGGAGTATAATTGGCAGAAACCACACTTCTTAGCTCCACAGAAGGGAAGTTCTTTCATGTCAAGTGAGGTAATATTCAATCGTACCGTCTCCCACTTGCAATTTGAACTGGTACAGTCCAGCAACAACTGTACCGTGTTTGCATAGACAGCTTCAACCAGGACTGATGGGTTTTAGATGGCCCGTTATTGTTTTCTGAATCATCCTTTCTCTCGTTTTGATTTCTTGCATCATCAGCCAACTAAAATGTTTGCGATTTCCCCACAGCACACACAGTTGTCACATGATTCATTCCGTCTTTCTGCTAAGTCCATTACATCAACCTGGCCTGCCTTCTTCATTTACAAACCTGAGTGAAGAAGTGGAACTTGGAGAAAACTTTCCTCTTGTTTTGTTTTTTTGACACATTTCAGTCAGCAGAAGGTATTCCAGTGGGGATTTTGAAGCTGTGAACACCCTTTGTCAATGACATCTCCTAGGATGTGAAGAGTTTATAAGGCCAATCAGTGCGGAACTTATAACTAGACCATCCATGATGACACTGTGGAAAGGTGCCGGAAGAAAGATCTTTTTAAAATGCTGTTGCAGTCAGATTCCTCTAAAGCTTATTCCAGGAAAAGGGATTTTTTTAAAAATTTCATATATGCTGTGTTGGAGCACAAGTTGTTTTCTTGAAGAATCAGCAGGAACTTCAGAGTTTGGCCAAGATGCTCCGGAGCAAAATGATGTGATGCATTCAGTGCAAGGAAACACACATTTGCCCTGTCTTATAATTTGGCCCCAAGCATCTGAACCCCAAGCATAGCTGAGGGGGCTGCTCCATATTGAGTGCTTTGGCCTCAGTGTCTTTGAGACATGGAAGGGAACTGCGGGTGTCGCATTGCCCTCTGCCACTTGAACAGGCAGTACGAAGACGGCTTTCTGCCTTAGTTTCAGATCCACCCTGTACCCAGTCAGTTCACTTTTTCATTGCTGCTTGTCCTCTTCTTGCCTCCTCTTCAAAAAATGTTTGTTGTGGCCAATTGCTGTCAAGTTGTCTCTGGCTTACGGCAACTCTACAAATGAAAGCCCTCCAAAATGACAGCCCTGCTTAACTGTTTTAAAAGCAAGGCTGTGGCTTCCTTGATGGGGGGAAGGTGAAGACACTGCTGTGACCCTGGCTGGGTAGGGATGCAATTTCCTTGTGAGTTGTACCCTTCATGTGGAAGACCAGCCATGCGGACACATTGCAGTCAAGAGTTTAGCATACGGCAGGTAGTGGATATTATTTTGTCAGCAGTGAAAAAGTCTTGCAAGAAGCTCTTAAAAATTGATACTTATTTGAAGTAAGATGAGAATGAATGAGATGAGATATCTCGGTAGGGGGTGAGTCCTTTTTTACTTCCAATCTGCAGGGTGGACAGAACAAGACTGAGTTACTTTCCAGCTCCAGAGAGAGAGGCCCTAAATGTACTTTCCATTGTCTGCTTGCTGACAGACACTTTTTAGCACTGTGAAAAATCGTTAACAAATATCAACAACAGAAAAACCCACCTGAGACAGGCTGACAAAGACTGAGGTCTCTTTTAAAACTGTGATGACTGAAGCTTTCGGTAGTCTGTGAAAAATGAAGGGCAATTTGTCTGGTGTTAGTTTCTGCTTTAAAGGCTCCAGTGTTTCCTGCTTGTTCATATGGGATTTCTCAGGGAGAGCCGGAGAGACGGAATTGAAGATTTTCCCATGCCAAAGTGCTTTTGCAATGCCTGAGGTTCCAAAGATGATCCCCCCCCCCCATTCACTGCAGCTATTTTATCCCCTTCTTATTTTTTTTAATTGCTTGCCCAATGAGCTTGCTAATGGCTTGCTTCACAGTTCCATTAGCTTTTCCTATTGTGCATTGAAGAACATCAGTGACTACTGATGTTACTCCCTTGCACTGGGTCCACAAACCCATAAATCCTAAAATAATAGACTTGCCTCTTAAAATACAAATTTTAAGAGCAATTTTCCAGCGATTTTCCAACTGTCTAGTTTTGGAGAACATGGTTTACGATACAGGTAAAAGTTGAACTGGTCTCTCTGCCATTATGACATGCTTTGGGGTGATGGTTTTCTGCTTCACTGGGAAAGCAAGCTTAAGGATGTCATCACACTAGAGAATGTCCGAAACCTAGTACTCCCCAGCCAGCCATGCTGGGAGCTTTAGGACTTGTCTCCTGCCTAAACACATACAGGATTACACCCTAGAAGACACATCGTTTCTCAGCAGGTCTTGAACTAGGCCAGCTTCCATCTTTACCATTCTCAGCCTTTCTTTTTCACCCTGCAGGTACGGAATGAATTGTCTCATTCAGTTTGAGGACTTTGCGAATGCCAACGCATTCCGGCTTCTCAATAAATACCGCAGCAGATATTGCACATTTAATGATGACATTCAGGGTAAGAGTTACAAATCTTTATTGATGATGATAATACATGGATTGTTGCATGAAGCTCCCCTGGGTTGACTCCACCCACTGCATTTACTGCAAAGGTTGCTAGGGATCTCCCTGGTGAGGAAATTGACCATGGGTGAGCAGGGTTCCCCCAGTGCTTGTTAAGACTAGATGTGCCTAATCAACTACTCAACCCCTAAGGGGGGGAAATCCATGGAGCTATTCAGAGATGTCATGTTCAGGAGATGGCACTGCTTTGTGAAGAGCAGTAGAAAAGCCTGGTTTTTGCTTGGCCAGATATACCATTGAAAGGCCTTGGGGTGACCTGGCATGATCATTTTCAGGCTTTCCTGGAGATGTTGGTGGCAACTTGTTGGCCTTTCCCTTCTAAGTACGGAAAATGCTCCTGTGCTGATTGCCCTAATCCTAATTGAGTTTTTTTTAGCTCCTCACCTACTTTTGGAGTGCATGTATGATAGACGAATAAACAGATTAAGCTGTGCATCTGTCAAGATTTTTAATCAATCGTTATTCTGATATCAGGGGAATATCTTCTCTTATGCTAGCCCAAAGCAGTGGTTAAAGCAAGAAAAGCAGAACTTGTGAAGAATGGTGCATTAATTAACTGAAATGAGGGAAGATTTCCAAGAAATGGTTAAAACGTTGATTCTGGGCTTCCTGTCCCAAGGCTGCAAACATACATACTTGAGAAGAAGTTCCACTGAGATTAAAGTGACTTACTTACTAGTAAACACGGGGAGTAAACATTGGGCTGTAAACCAGTCTAACTCTCCTTAGTGAGTTATGGAAAGCATTGTTTGAAGGAGAAACACAGATGTTCATGGAGAGCAGAGAGGGCAGGTTACAAAATCATTTTAGCAGTCTGTGGCAATATCTATTCCAAGTGTCCATTTGGAATTAAAAGTTGATTATGCAAAGCAATTTATGCAGTGCAGTTTATGCAAAGCAGCTGTGGATTTTTTAAGATTTTATTTTATTTTTGATTTGAGATCAGCAAACTCTACTCCAGGTCGTGACTAATTCTTCTGCAGCCAAGGCCCATTAAGTTTGGTATGCTTTCCGTAACAGAAGAGCAGAAGAATAATTGGTGCATATAATGGAGGACCAAGAACACATTTTAAGGGAGAAAATGCGTTCCGGGCCCTGGTCTTCGCACTCGAGTATTTCAGCCTTCCCATTGGATTTGTAATTGGCCTAGAGAAAAATGAGTAATGGCACACCCTGTCTCGCAGGGATGTGAATTTCTTAAACCACATCACAGAACGGACTGAGTCATTGCATCTTTTATTCTGCACCCTGTGACTTTTTCAGCCTTTACGAGACCGTGTTTGAAAAGCCCCAGACTGGCTTTGTGGAACTGTGTCCACGCAGCCATTTATGTCCGTGGCTCAGTAGAGGATAAATCTTTCACTCCCTCTAGCGGACAGACGAGTACAGAACACTTTCAGGAGATGAGGCTTTCTAAAGATGTGTTGGAATTGATTAGCTATTGTTATGCCCCAACTTTTTTCCTCTTGAAAGAAACCTGAAGTGGGTTTCCTACAAAATACTTGTTCTAGAGAAGTCGGGTGGCCTTCAAGGAGTTTGACAGAAGTTAAAGCACTAGCATTAACCTGGGAGAGAACAATCCAGTTGTATTCAAGGCACGACTGCAAAGCATTTCACCAAGGTTAGGTTATACTTGGTTTCCTTCACCTAATTACATATTAAAATTATGCACCTTTACCCTCGTCATGTATACTAAAGAACCACAATGCAGTTTGTTCTACTTCAGATATGTATAATGCAACGTGAAACAAGAAATGATATTAGGATTTTAAAGCTTTTCCGGTGTTTTTACAGGAGGTGATGTGGATGCAAAAACTAATGTTATTTTGGGGTGCATTAATAGAAGTCTCATTTCCAAGTCTCATTAAGTGATTCCTGTCTAGTTTCTCTCTACTGAGCACTCTACAAGTACCTCAAAGGCTGTCACAGAGAGGAAGGTCAATATCTCTTCTGGTTCATTCCAGAGTGCAGGACACAGAATATTGGACTTAAGTTGACAGAAACCAGATTTAGACTAGACACCAGGAAGAATTTCCTCCGTGTCGGACAGTATGACAATGGAACCTGTTACCTGGGGAAGTTGTGAGCTGTCCTTCCTTCAGAGAGCATCTGGACAGTCATCTGGATGGGGTGGTGCAACTTAGTGTTCTGCAGTAGCAGGTGATGGGACCTGATGGCCTTCTGGTCCCTTCCAAGTCTACTCTTCTATGATTCTGCAATTGGATGGGCCCATCTTGAGTATTGTGTCCAGTTCTGGGCGCCATGGTTTAAGAAAGATACTGGCAAACCAGAAAAGGTTCAGAGGAAGGCAGCCAAGATGATTGGGGAACTAGACACAAAGCCCGATGAGGAGACATTGAAGAATTAGGCATGTTTAGCCTTAAGAAGGGAAGACGGAAGGGAGATGGGATAGCACTCTCTGAATACTCGAAAGGTTGTCACAAAGTAGAGGGCTAGGGTCTCGTCTTGATGATCCCAGAGTGCAGGACAGAGAATACTGACCTCAAGTTGCAAGAAGCCGGATTCTGGCTGAATGTTAGGAAAATATTTCTGCATCTTAGAGCAGCACAGCCATAGAACCAATGACCCAGGGAGGCTTGGATTCTCCCACCATGGAAGCATTCAAGAAGCAGCCGGAGAGCCGTCTGTCAAGGATTCTTCAACTTGGACTCCTACCCTGGGCAGGCTTAGACCCGATGGCCTTCCTGGCCCCTTCCAACAATACTATTCTATGATATTCTATATTAATGCAGAGATAACAGTACAAAAGCCTCATGAGTTAATTTTTAGGCATGCTTTTCTTAGGTTTTTCCTTTCCATTCAATGCACAGAATCATAAGAACTCAAGACCTGGTTGAGCAATTTAGGTGTAACAAAACTGTGTACGGCCCATAACTGAAAGTCTTCCAGCAACGTGGACTGGCAATACAGTCGAGAGACTGTGATTACATACAAACTTACTCAACAAGCACAACCAGCAAAGATTCCCAATTCTTAAAAAAGTAATAATCTAATGGTGTTACATAAAAACTTCAGCTCACTTTCAAATCAGATCCAGATGAATGTTCGTTTCTGAGGTGGATCAGGCAACATAACTTACACACACAAGCTCTTTCAAAAGGTGCTGAATTTCTCCTAGGTGTGTTTTCTCTACTTTTCCCACAAACATGCTGTAGTAATGATCGTGATCAGTAAGCGTCTTTCCCTACTCAGCGGTTCGCAGCGTTGCTCCTTTTTGTTCTATATTTTTAATCCGTTTGGAATAAAATTAGAGCCAGGGGTGGGTGTTCCACAGGGGCTCGTGCAGTTCTGAACACAGCGTGCTTCCCCATGGTTGCTTTCCGCAGGGACAATTTGTGAAAGGAATCTCAGTGGGCATTCCTTTTTGGCCAAGAGGAAGCATTCCTAACAGCAGACTGGCCTTTCCTGGGGTGAAATGGAGTGTCAGAGCAGGTCAGGCTGTGTGGGAGAAACAGGTCTGCAGGCTTGTTGAAACAAGGAGAAAACCATCTTAGTGAGAGACTTAATGCCAGGATCACAGCCTTCTTGGATCAGGCCTGACAGAGCACAGGCTTTTCCACAGTGGTCATCCAGGGAGTGAGGAGAGACCTGCCCTCCATTAAGGGTGCAGTCCTCTACCTCTTCAGAGGAAACTCCCAGCATTCCTCAGTCAGCATAGGATCGCCTCGTGGCGTTAATGCGTTCAAATCCGTCTAAAGCTGTCTAACTGAAATCGCTGCATCCTGGGAAATGAATCCTATCGCTTAACCACGCTGCATGTCAAGAAGTACCACCTGTCGCTTCTCCCAAACATCTCTTCACAGGATGGCCCTAGGTTCTGGCATTGCGAGAGAAGGGAAAGAACTTCTTTTTTCCACATGGTGTAGAATGTTAAGAAATTCTTTCATGGGCCCTCCCCAGCTTGTCTTTTTCCTGAATAGGTCCATACAGGGTAACCTGGGGTGGGGACTTCTGGACCAGGGTCGAAGACTGGCCCCTGGGATTTTCCAAGATGGCTGTAGCCCCTTTCCCGGGCCCTCCCTCTTTCTCCCAACCACCTATCATTTGGTGCTTTCTGCATTTTGGGGCAGTTTTCTTCCATTCTGGAAGGTCGGGATGCTTCTCCTGGGGCTGAGAGTCTAGCAGTAACAGCTGCACTGTGGTGCCACCCTGTAAGAGAATGCAGCCCTCAGGAAGGTTTCCAAAATGGAGCCAAAAGAAATCCCCACCCCATTGAAACCATACAGGCTTCTCCAAGCTAGTGTTGAAATGCACTTCGCTGTAACTATTGCCTACAGATTTCTTCATGGCTGGTTGAGATAGGTATGGAACAGGGGACCGGGGGGTGCGAGGAAGCGAGAGAGAGAGGGAGGGAGGGAGGGAGGGAGAGAGGAAATGAAGGAGAGGAAAAATCTGTGCTCATTTTTAAAAAGCCAGAAAAATAAATGCCTGCTCAAATGTGATCTGAGGAGCTTTTCCTTTTCATCCCGTACACAGTGCTGGATATCCCATAAATAATCTATCCAGTGCACTAGGTACCTTGTAGCTTATTCATCTGCACGCTCAGCTAGAATCTTGTTTGAACTTGTACAGCTGAAAGGCTGGTAGCAAGCACTAACCCGATGATCACAGAAAAGAAGATTGTTTCCCAAACACTCCAATGAAATCTTGGAAAGAGCAAAATGGTTCTGACTGAGCTGTTCAGACATTGCCCATCAATACCTTTGCTGCAGAACTGTTCATTATTTTAGCCAGTGTAGCGGGAGGGGAGGCTGGTCAGGCAAGCCATCAGCACGGGCAATCCCCACTGGGTTTTTGGGGCCTTGACCCATGCCCCATTCGGCCAGGTGTTGGTGCCCAATCTGTTCATATGGGAAGCTTTGCACCTATTGTCGTTTCTTTGTTGTCTCCTGGGATGAACTCACCCAGCATCTAAGTGTGCCAAATATGTGTGTTTTTCCAGGAACCGCCTCCATTGCAGTAGCTGGAATTTTGGCAGCCTTAAGAATCACCAAGAACAAGCTTTCTGACCATAAGTTTGTCTTCCAAGGAGCTGGAGAGGTAAAGATTCAGACTGCGCTTGGGGAAGGCCACATAAAATGGCCGTGTCCAGTGTTTTCTTTTGAAACAGAGAACTCAGGAGGGATTTAAAAGCAGTGTCTCTGCTCTGAGGCCAAGGAGCGGAGATTGTTCTGAGCTGCGGTCCCTGCAGGCCAGCCTCGGAGGAGGAGATTACACAGCTGTGGGGGAAATGGCCCAGAACGACCCTTGTGTTTATAACTTGGGAAATGAGCCTAGCCTTGTTCCAAATCCCTAAAAAAACAGGTATCCTGTGGCGCTGCACAGAGAATGAGAGCTGATCAGTGGCTACGCATTGGCTTTTTTCACAGGCTTCTGTTTTGTCTGGCCACCGAAGTTCTGGATGGATTTAATTTAATGGCTATTGAGACTGGTACTCTCCCTTTCTGGGGGATTTTAGAAACATAGAAACAGAAACAGCGTGAGTCAGAAGGGGCCTCCCAGACCATCTAGTCTGACCCCCGGCTCCAGCCAGCTCTGCTCACGACACGCCCACCATGTGCATGTCTAGCCTATCCTTGAACACCTCACCGATGGGGCCTCAACCACCTTCAAAAGGAAAAGAAAAGATGCTGGAAACTTGGACAGGGACAGTGTGGCATCTCTAGGATTTCCCTCCAGGGCCCTGGGCCCTTCTGGCTCACTGGACTCAGCTCGCTCGCCAAATCCAGACTTTTCCTAATGTCCCACCCTGCTGCAGTTTCCCATCACATTCTGCCTTCCAGCCAGCTCAAAGCCCCTCATTTTGGAAAAGGCACCCCATTTTTTGCCTCTGATATGGTACAGTAGATGGGTCATGACTCAGTGGGAAAAGGATTTGCTTGTATAAAATACCCTTTTCACTCCCTGGAGTCTCTGGTTGTTCGCCTCCAGTGGTGAGACTGACATGTCACAATGCACAACGAATGCCAGGTGGAGCAGAAGGGTAGCACTGTGCCGAATGGACGGACAGCCTGAATTTAGTCTCAGGTTGGCCCTTCTGTCCATCCACTGAGGAAATAACTGGTCGTCTGCTTTGTCTGTTTTTCCAGGCAGCCATGGGCATTGCTCACCTGCTTGTTATGGCCCTGGAGAAAGAAGGAGTTTCACGGGAAGAAGCAATCAAAAAAATCTGGATGGTGGATTCCAAGGGACTCATTGTCAAGGTACATCTTCAGAAGAATCCCTCGATTTTTGTTCAAGGTTTACTGGTAGATTCTTCTCTGGTAGTAAAGAGCAATGCAATATTTTAAAGATGGCTGGAGTAGTTTGACAGTGCTGTTTCAGCCTTCCAAATGTACATTTTCTGTTCAGCACAATGGACCACTAATTCAGTAATAAACTTAATACTAAATATATATTTTGTATCCCGGGTCAAGCTTTGCCCTGAAAAGTACTTTTCAGAATGGTTCAGTTTGAAGAACAAAGAAACCCATTGGGATGAGGACATGCTGGCACATTTTCACTCTCTCCACCCATATCCACACATTAATCTCACTTGACAGTTCACATTTTGGTATCCCAGCACAGACGTGTATAAAACAAGTCTCTTGATTCATCACTTCTTATATGTCATGATGTGTGATGAGCTTGCTCTTAGGATCTCATCCATCTTCATCCTCTGATGATTTTTGTGTCCAATTCCCAAAGGCCTGGGAACATAGACATATACTGATTTCTTCTGCAGTCCTGAGGGCTTGCAGTGGGTAGCAAACTTCAGAAAAAAACAAATAAAACCAAACAAATGAAGTGTCCAATCCATATTAATAAGGTGTTGCAAATTTTTCTTTCTTATGGCAAGCTCAAAAATGGCTTTCTTGCAATATCCATTCTTGGTCTTTCTTGAGCCTCCAAGAAAAGGACTTTGTGAGGAGCACAGCCACCAAGCACATGTCATACAAGGCCACCAAAGTCACAAGATTTGATGCACCAAAGGAATAAATTCAGCAGTCCTGAGATGCTAGGTAGATTGATGGTTTCGTTCCTGTCCTTTACATAGCTTTTGCCTCGCCTTTGTTTGATTCACAGGGCCGGAGTCACCTGAACCGCGAGAAAGAGACATTTGCTCAAGATCATCCCAGTGTGAAGAGCCTTGAGGAGGTGGTGCAGATAGTCAAGCCAACAGCTCTTATTGGTATCTCTTTGGGTTGCTTTTCCCTGCCTCTTGCCTCATTTCCCCTGCACCTTCCTCGTTTCCCAGTAATGCCTTGATCCTCAACTGCTAGCCATGATGGAGGGTGTGTTTCTCCATTTACCTGCAATGGGACATGACACTGATCCTTAATCACATGGAGAAGGAAACAGCCACTGTCTTGAGACAACAGAGGTGGGGCAGCTTCTTGATAAAGTGTCAGCCTGGAACCAGGGAGATCTAGATTCCTGTCCCTGTTTGGCCACAAAGCTCCCCGGGTGACTTTCAGCCACGCTCAGTCTTGCATGCCTCGCACCATAAAATGAAGGGTTGGGGAGCCCTGTGGTCTCGTAAGAGAAGAGAGGAAGAAGATGCTGGCCATCGAGTCTTCTTAGGAATAGGGGTGTGTGAGGAAGCCAGCTTAGGCGTGAGCATCCGTCGGCTTTTCTCAGCTCGGCTCCCTAGGCCCTGGCCTGCTTTTACTCCCTAAGTCCACCCCATGCCAAGCGCTTGTCCAGCTGGAAGGGAATCCACGCAAAGCTGTGCTTCAGCACACACGACTTGCCGGCTTTGTGTAGTCCAGATAAGGAATTACGTACGTTGCACGCTTTGCGCAGAGTCCGCGAGTGTTCCTGAGCGTTCAATTCCTGGCCAAGGCCGAGAGCTGGAAAGAAGTCCAGCGAGTGCAGGAGGGCCAGATTCCAACCTGATTTCCTCAACCTTGCTTAGGTAGAAAGAGCCATGAAAGTTCTGCTTGAGCCAGAAATCGCTTGGCCAACATGCCTAGTCACTGGATTCTTGGTGGTATGGAAGAGACAGTGCGGATTTCCCCCCCAGAGAGAAAGGTTATAGGGTACTGTGAAATTCTCTGCCCCAAAGGATTCCCCAGTTCAGTTTAGCAGAAGGGATAACCTAGCAATGCATACTCAGCACTCTTCCTGGACGTGAACAAAAGATCCCACATCTGCCAAGAATATGGGATGTTTGCACTGTAGCATTCACAGATCTCCAAACCCAAGGAATGGCATGTATTGAACAAGCACTAATCTGAACTCTCGCCTTACATTTCTCCTAATGGGACCTGCAACAGACTCTTGCTGGATAGCTCTACTCGTGTGGTGTAGGGGATAAGCGTGCTGGACAGGGACTCGGGCAACCTGGGTTCCAATCCCCACTCCACCGTGAGTCAACTGAGTAACTTTAGGCCAGTCTCAAACTCTCATCCCAAGCTGCCTCCCCAGATTGCTGCTGTGGGGGGAAGATTGAAAGCAGGAGGAAGAGAATGATATAAGTGACCTTGAAAAAAAGGCAGGATATGGGGGGGGGAGGGGGGGGGGGGAGGGGGAGGAAGCAAGCAAGCGGGGATGGTACATTTGGTACATACTGTAATTAACAGGTTCTTCTTTGAGTTAATTGAGTTAAAATCGGCATGAAGAGTCTCCTTCTTTCAGCCAACCAGCTTGCTTAGTTCTGCCTATCAAGGGAGTCACCCACATATTAAGCAAATACCTTTTTATATTTTGGGTGGCCCTATCCTGCTTCAAAACTTATCAGTGCTCAGCCACCTGGGGCACAATGCCTGGACCAACAAGGAGAGAACGGGGTCAAAAGTGCCTCCGTCTGCCCCCCCCCCCCCCGCCCCCAGCTTAGATGGCTGCTCATCCCATTCCCATTCACTTCCTGCGATTTTTCTCTGGGAAATGCAGAGCCGCCCAGCCCTGCAAGGTGGATCAGGCCGTGGCTCGCTTGCATCCATTATTAACTGCGCTTTCTTCTGCTTGCGGCTTCCCTTCACCTCCTCTTCCACATGGTTGCAGGGGTGGCCGCAATCCCGGGGGCTTTCACGGAGCAGATTCTGAAGGACATGGCGACCTTCAACGAGAGGCCCATTGTGTTTGCCCTCAGCAACCCCACGAGCAAAGCCGAGTGCACGGCCGAGCAGTGCTATCGCTTGACCGAGGTAAGACCGGCCCTTTGGCTGCTCTCGGGGCCGTTTCGCAGCCGCAAGGACTGCTCTTCGGAGCCGGCGTGCTTGCTTTTCCCAGCCCCATTCAAGGGCACTGCGCTCTCCCAGGGCTTTGCCTTGGACAATCCGATCCTTCTTTGCTCTTTGACAGGGACGGGGCGTCTTCGCCAGCGGCAGCCCGTTTCCAAAGGTGACCCTGCCAAACGGACAAACGTTCTTCCCCGGGCAAGGAAACAATGCCTACGTCTTCCCAGGTGTTGCTCTGGGAGTTATTGCCTGCGGAGTCCGGCACATCTCTGATGACATTTTCCTCACCACCGCAGAGGTTTGTGTTCTTTCTGCCTTCAGCCACAATTATGGTGAAGGGAGGCCCGAAAGCACGACAGCCATTGTCTTTTCTTGCCATTCTAACTGGGAATCCATCTTATTTTCCCTTCCTTCAGCTCCTGGCTTAAAGCCATTTTGTGAAGCTTCTGGCATGAGCTCCGATGCCTTTATTCATGTCCTGCAGGAGCAAAGCCAAGTTTGTCCCCATGGGTAGGCGCAGCAAGGCACTGCATCAGTTAAAAAAGCGCAGAAGGCAACTCGTGCGACGCACATTGCAGAGAAAGTGGGAAGGGAGATGTTTATGTTTCTCTGTCACGCCACCTCACCACATCTGGGCCTTCCCATAGAGCTAAACAGTCATGAAAATGACTTCCCCAACCCAAGAATGGAAGCTTCCCCAAGCACGGAATGCTTTCTGGGTGGTGCTGGTGTTTCGTGTGGGCACCATGCTGGGGACCCCCTGCCTTAAAGCATCTTCCCCAAACGGGACGTAATGTTGATTCCTTTGGAAATCTGTCTCCTTCCTGTAGAAAGTAGGAAGTGAGTGTGTGCGTGGAAATGGAGGAGCTGGTGAGGGGAACTCAGGCCTTGCTGATGTTCTCTCCCTGCCCATCCCCCTGCCACATCAGGGTCCCAGCATAGATCGCCTCTAGTTTTGGAGCCAGAATGCAAGAAAAGGGCCTGAAGTACGTAGGTGCCTGAAGGTCATGCTGATTTCCCCACCTGTAAACCTTTGATAGGGAAACTGAAACACACCCAGCTGTCTCCCACTTTATGTATGCCTGGAACAGCCACTGGAACAGGAGATGTGGCAGCTCCGTCACATCCAGAGTCGGCTTTTTATTTCATTTATTTATTTATTTATTAAAACATTTCTATGCCGCCCCTTGCTGAAGCCTCGGGGTGGCTTACAACATCTAATAAAATACACAATAAATTAAAACAATAACAATTAAAATATATACAGTAGAATAAAATAAGCCGCCCTGGCCAAATAAAATTCAATAATATTAACATTTAAAATGCTGCTTAAATAAAAAGGTCTTCGCCTGGCGCCGAAAAACAAATAACGACGGCGCTATTTTGAGAAACACTTAAAGAGAAATGCCATCCGTGACTGCTTATTCATAGTTGAGGCCCTGAAGGTGTGTTGGTAGGCAGAGGTGTGATGCAAGGCAGCTCTGGAAATAGTTTAGCAAGAGCTGAAGCTGCCTAAGAAAATCAGACAGCCCTGCTGGATCAAACCGTGCGTCCGTCTAGTCTACCATTTGGCTCACACAGCGGCCCCACCACCTGCTCACGGAAAACCCACAAGCAGGACCTGGATGCCACACCACCTGCCCGCCCATGATCCCCAGCAGCTGGTGTACATCGGCATACGGTCCCTGATGCTGGAGGTGGCCTATAAGTGTCAGACCAGCAGCCACTGATCGTCTCTCCTCCGTGAGTCTGCCCAGTCCTCTTCTCAGCCAGAGTGTTCTTCTACTCAAGAACAGAAAAGGAACATGAGGGATCAGAGCCAGGGTCCATCCAGTCCACCTTTCTGTTCACACAGGGGTCAGCCAGCTGCCCACAAGCTCCCACAAGTGGGACGGATGTGCAATAGCATCCTCGCACCCATGTGCCTTAGCAAGTGGTGTGCAGAGGTATAGGGATATGGGAGATAGCATGTAGACACCAATCTTCTCCATGAGTTTGTCCAATCCCATCTTAAAGCGCCCCAGATTGGTGACCCTTGCTGCATCTGGTGGAAGTGAGTTCCATAGTTTTGCTCCATGCTGGTTAGGCAGGCCCAGTACTGAGCCTAAAACTCAGTGACAGGGGAGCTGACTGGAACGCAGAGTGCTGTGGATTCAGCTTGCACTGGTGACAGGAGAGCCCTCCAGACCAGCTGTGGCTTCCATGTCAGCGAGGCCGTGTATCCACTCCGGAGTGTGGTCTAAACTGATAAAGAGCTATCCTTAGTGCTGAACCTGCTTGGGAGTAGAGTTGGGAATAACTGCCTTGGATTCCTCACGAGAGGAAAAACGTGTGCAAGGCCAGGCAACTGGCACCTCCAGCCTCAACGGGCAGCACTGGGCCACATGACTGCTCCATCTGCCCTGGGACCAGGCCATGTGGAGGAGGAGCTTGGCTCTAGGGAGCCTTCCCTGGTGAGGCATCACACTGAGCGTCTCCAGGGGCACCGTATCACCAAGAAGATTCCGGAGCTTTCCGCAGGTTGCCACCCAAAGCCAAGCTCTCGCCTTTCCCTTTCCCTAGGCGATTGCACAAGAGATTACTGAGGACAATCTTGCAGAAGGACGGCTGTATCCACCTCTGAGCTCCATTCGGGACGTCTCCTTCAAAATCGCTGTGCAGGTAAGAATCAAAGGCGTCGGGTTTTGGGGTGGTTGTTAGAAGCGGCAAAGACCCTTCTCTCCTGGATCCCCTGCTGATGAAAATCTATTTATTTGTTTCCTTTTCATACCGCCCCATAGTCAAGACACTCTGGGTACTTGAAGTTCACATACTCACTTAAAAAAACAACACAATAGTAATTGCAATTGAATCAGCATAGAAGCATCACAGTGGTACAGAATGAGTCGAATTTAAAAATTAAGTATGAAATTGAACTGCTAAAATGCTGGGGAAAATAAAAGTGTCTTCACCTGTTGCTGAAAGGAATACAATGTAGATGCCAGGTGCGCCACTTTGGGGAGCCACAACTGAAAAGGTCACCTCCTGGTAGCCTCACTTCCTTCAGAAGGGTCTTCTAGAACAAGACCTCCCAAAGATGCTCCAGGTAGATATATATGGGAGGAGGCAGTCCTTCAGATAACCTGGCCCCAAGTAATTTAGGACTCCAGACATTAGTGCTAGCGCTTTGAATGGGGCCTAGACTTCAAGCCCAGCCAGTGCAGCTGGACGAGGGCTCGTGTGATGTGCTCTCATGAGCCAGTCCCCATTAACAGTCTAGCTGCCCTGTTTCGGATCAGTTGAGGTCTCCAGACCATGTTCAAAGGCAGTGCCATGTACAGAATATTGCCGCAATCCAAGCGAGAGGTTACCAGGGCATGGATAACTGGTGCTAGGCTCTCTCTGCCCAGGCAGGGTTCTCAGCTTAAGCCTCACCTGGTCCACTTGGGGCTCAAATGACAACTCCAAGCAGCGCCAGACTACAAACCTTGCCCTTGAGGGGGAGCGCAGCCCCATCCAGAACAGGTTGACTATCACCCAGCTGGACGGACGAAGCACCCTCTCACAGCACCCCTCCATCTTGCCTGGACCGAGCCCCAGTGTCGGCCCTCATCCAGGCCTTTCCCATGCGCAGGCACTGATTCAGAGCAGCTGCTGCCTCACCCAGGGGGAGTTATCATATAAAAATGAAGGACACCGTCATTCTGCCACACCCCACCATATGAGGTTCGATGGCATTCTCTGCCTTTCCTCCAAAACAACTGTTGCATGTAACCCCATGGAGCGGCAGGCCAAACGGAAAAAGAGACATGCTGTCCTGGTTTGCAGATAAGGGTAACTCGAGGGTTGTTTTACCTGTGGGTTCTCAGGGCTGAGTGCAGGGAAGCACGCTGGTTCCTGCACGCTGGCCACTTCTGCATCGCATTCACTTTGTGAGGCAACCCTGGAACCCGCGGTTTGCTGCTGGGTTAAAACTCTGGGTTGTTTAAACCTGTACAAGCCCGCATATTGGGACTGGATAGCAGATGCAGAACAGAAGTGGCGAGCAGGAGGGAAGCAATGCTCTTGCTGGTTCTTAGGCTGCCCCTCCAATTCATGGGTTGTTTAACCCATGAATTGGCATTATGTGCAGACCAGGTCAGTGGGGTGGATCCAGGACTAGATATACTTAAAGTAATCCCCTTGAAATCAGTGAGACTGAAATTCATCATGACTCGATCAAGTCTTGTTGATTTCAATGGGTCGACCCAAATATGAATAAGTTTGGATCTAGCCCATTGATATGCATGAGGTTCCCATGCCAAGAAAATGACGGTGTTGCCATACCCAAGACTAGCCCGGAACCAGCTAATGAAAGAAGGTAGAAGAGAGCTGCATTAATCTCTTTCTCAAGTCCCTGCCTCTTTTCATGCAGTCATCCTACAAGGGAGACAACCCCACGCATAACTTACGTGCCTTTAATTACAGATCATTCTGGGCTGAGCTGCCCAAAAGAATCCAGGCAGGGACCTTTGTTCATAGGAAACTTGTCTGGAGATATATTGGAGTTTTGAAACCCAATTCTGCAGGACTTGGGGGGTGCTGTAAATTACGCCCCATCTGTGCCCCTTGTGTGGCTTTACAGCTTCTCATGGCGCTCCTGCTCCTTGCAGAGAAGGAATACGAGCCACTGGGAGGCACTGCCGAAACTTGTGTAGCCGTTCAGTGACTTGGCCTTGGAAATTTGCTTAGCCAGGGATTTGAGTTTCTGTCCTCCGGGTCCTGGTCCAGTCTTCTGTCTGGTGCCTTTTCTTTTCTGTTCTTTTTAGGTCGTTGATTATGCCTACAAACACAACCTGGCCTCCTGGTACCCTGAGCCAGAAGACAAAGAAGCCTTCGTTAAATCCCTCATTTACAGCCCTGACTACGATTCTTTCGTTATAGATAACTACCGGTGGCCAAAGGAAGCCATGGAGACTCAAAATATTTAGTGTTCCCTTTGGGAGGGAGCGATCTGGATATAAATGAAGTCTTCTGTCTTGTAGAACACTCCGCTGTAAATGGGGGAATGAGCGAGCACCCATCTCCTCTTTTTGCTTTTGTTTTGATGTATCTGAGCCAGAGATAGTAGGGGTGGTTTAAGCCCCCCAACCCAATGGATTGCTATGCCTAGACGAGGCCTAGAAGGTCCCACCTGCTGTCTTCCTTCTCTTCCCAGAGAGTTTATCAAAATTGCTCTGTTGTGGGGGCATCAGCTTCCAAAGCTCCCTCCCAGGTTTGCAAAATTCTATCACCTTTCCCAAAGCTTCAAAGGGTAGAATCTCACGGTGCCTGGGAATGGGAGACTCACAGTCCAGCTGCCACGTCTCAGCTACCGGCACTGCTGCCATCCTCAGCCAAGCAGTGAGGGGTGCAGCCCCTTCGCCTCGGGTACCTGCAATTTCCCAGAGGCCATTTTTCCAAGCAAAACCTTCATTATTGAAAAGCTTTTGCATTAGTGCTGTTCTTTATGTTCTGCTTATACAACCCACACCCTGATACATCGGGGTGCAGGAGATTGGCCTGGGGGCCAAAGCTGCCCCCCAGTCCTCCAGGGGTTCCCTCAAAAGGCACGTGTCCTTTCCCTCCACTACTGAACATCTGTTGGTTTCCTAGCTTTTCTGCAGTTTTAATCCCCTCTTAAAAGTTGCAGTGCCTTCCCTGAGGCTTCGTTACTGGAAGTAAGAGCTTCATGCTAAAATAAATTGGCATTTTGGCTTTGTGCCTTTTAGCTCTGGCTTGCCACTGGAATGTGGCTGCAGGAGCTTCTCTGAAGTGGAGTTAGGTTCTCAGGCTGAAGTTGGTTCTGCACCTCCGCCGTGCATCATTCCAAATTCTAGCAAAATTCACAGTGCCTGGACACTATGTTGGACGCCAGGCGTGTTTTTTAAAGCCTTCTGCTTAAGTTTCCCGGGGACAATCATGCCACCCAAAGCTGATGAGCTGTACGTTTGTCGGATCCGTCTGTGGAAAAAGCACTCAGGCTTCTGAAGTGCTTATAATAGGGGTTTTGTTTTTAAAGCTATTCTTCAGACAATCTCATCAAGGTTGGCCCTTCCCTTGTTCTAGATAAAAGGAAATGGATGTGACATTTATAGTAGAACAGGAATTATGCTTCCATGTATAGCTTAGATTCAAAGAAAATGCTGCTCCAGACTTACGGCTTCGCTAAATGAAGCGTTTATCGTGCACCCACTGATGTGTGTGGCGTCTTTGCATGACATCGCCATCTTCCATGGCCTTTCGTATGTTTTCCAGCCATTTTTGCAGGGTTATTTAGAGTGAGGAAAGTCGGCTATTAAATCTTGCACTGGAAAAAAGCCTCAGGGGGTCTCACAAATCTGCGCTACTGCCACTGTACCCCAGCGCCATCTTCTGGTTGGTCGACAGAATATATAGGAAGGCAGAGAAGTAAAACCCCCAGGGAGCAGGGGACCGATCCCCCACGGAAACTGAAGAAGCAGCCTCAGTAATGCGGCAGATTGAATCCTTCATGCAGACGAGCCCCTCGAATTTCCATCCGTGGCAGAAACAGACAAAGGCGACGCACAGGGATCTGTGCTCGAGCGCAGTGCACTGAAAAGATGAGGCCTTGCTGAATTCAGGCCGTACCAAGAGGGCAGGCAGTTTGAAGCAGCCCCCTTCTTTAACAGCACTTTGAGCAGCAGCGATCAAGTTCTGCTCCCTGCCAGGAAAAGCGTCACCTGCTGATTCACCTGAATGTTGAAGGCGCAGGAGCAATTTTTTAAATAATTATTTTTGATGACCAGTGGGCAATCCTGGAATCTGCAGACAGGAGGTTCTTCGGCTGTAGGACTATATTTTGTCTTCTTCCGGTACACATTCAAAAATTCTTGTACATCGCAAAACAGCTCATCAGCTGGAGGACAAAGACTAGAACCTTTCTCTCCATGTGCTAGCTTTCTATGGGGGGGGGATTCATTTGTTTTTCACATGGAAGAGTAAAATTGTTGGGAGATATTACAGCGGCTCAGGCCAAGTGAGATTGTCCCCTTGGCTCATTCATCCACTTGTATAGTAGCTGCAGATAATGTAGGAAATCATCATCATCAGCTCCTTTGCCCTCCAGTTTCAGCCTCAGTCCTAACACACAAACATAATCTGGTACCTGGGTTGTCACTTTGGTAAGCTGCACGTACCAAGAACTTTTGAGGAATCCTCTGAAAGTCTAACATAGTGCCAATAAAGCTCTGAAGGGTATCATTGGATGCAATCTCAGGTACTAATCATTGTTTTTTGTTTTGTTATCCAACTGACTTAAAGCAATTTCCAAAACATCATTCGTACTCTGGTGCTTGGGTCCAATGAGCTAGAGAAGCAGAACATCCAGCCCAAGGGTTCCCCACACTGAACCGTGCTTCCTCTTGAGATTCCTGCAGGGGAAGGGCCCAGCTTCATGCCCCGTTCTGTGGGGGAACCCCTTTGAAAGACGTGCCCATTGCTGTCTCTGATCCGGTGCTGCCAGCAAAAGCTTCCAATCCCAGACCGGAGATCACAGTGGGGAGGCCAGATGGACTGGGCAAGAGGAAAGGTTTATGTCCCAAGGTGAAAAGCCTGTTTCGTGAGCTTCTGTCACATAGTGCTGAATGTTGCCAGGTATTCATTCTGAGTTCGTCATTGGGGCAAGATGTCATAGCAACCCTGCTTACTCAGGTGCTTCTAGTCCAGCATCCTGGTTCTACGGATGACTATCTAGATGTCTTTAGGAAGTATAACGCTCATGCTACTGTTGTATTCAAGGGCAGCCTCTCTCTGAACATTGTACTGAGTAAAAGTAACTTAAAGTTCCTTATGGAAATATATCCACCAATATCGTTATTTTTCTTGCTAAGAGTTGACTGCAGCTCAGAGATGAAATAGACGGGAAGATGGAGAGGTGGTGGGGGTGGTTTTCAGGGCAGGGGAAAATAGGTGGAGGAAAGTAACACGCACCAGCCACATTGGGCTGTGTGTCTCTTCCTGGCCTTTTTAACTTGTAAGTTTGGCTGATACCAGAAGCAGCAGTGAACATAAATCGTGTGGGAAAAGCTGGGCCGCGTTCCTTGGTGCTGTGTATCGTTCCTACAGTGGCCAACCAGGTGCCTGTAAGAAACCCACAAATAAGGAGGCATTCTTCCTGAGGCATTTAGGACTCACTTGTCTTCCCTACTCACAGCTGTTATGGATTCATTAGACCCTCCAGTTTTGTTTCTGTGTCCAACCAACACTTTCAGTGAGTTTGGTTTGGTTTCATAGAATCTTAGAATAGTAGAGTTGGAAGGGGCCAGAAGTGTTCAATCCAACACTTGCTCTTCGCCAGTGAGCAAGTGCTGTTAAGTTGACAGATGTTTAGTTCCAACAGGCACCTGGACCAGATGTTTGGATTATAGATGCCTTTATAAGATGCTGTTTTTTAGTCTCAAAGTCGTGCCCGACCCATCACAACCCCATGGACAACATTCCCCCAGGCTCTCCTGTCCTCCCCCATCCCTTGGAGTCCACCCACTGTCCCAGAGGCTCCATCCATCCACCTCATCCTCTGCCATCCCCACCTCCTTTTGCCTTTATAAGTTGAGTGCACCAATAATATGTTTGCAGAAAGCAGAACAGGGGGACTGGAGGTATTCCTGGAGGAAGAGAATAATGCGAACCACTTTGAGTTCTTCAAAAGAAAGAAGATGGGATATCAAATAAACAAACAAATGTAATAAGCATTCCAAGTCTGTACCCACCTAAGTAACAACATCATTTGAATTATAAAGTCTGAAGACACAAAAGAAAAAACCTACACTCGCCCTCAGGAAAAAGAAACTACAGCTTGTTCTTAACACAATGAAAAATTAACCCAGGGTGAATTATGATCATATTGTAATTACACACACACACCCAATGAAATTGCATTTGACCAGACGAAGTGTCAGTATTAATGAGGTGTTCCATGATCCTTGACAATTTAAAATCAGCCTTTAAAATTGTCAGTAATTTTCTGCACATACCTTCCTTTAGCTAATGCAATCCTTTATCAAAATCTGTTGACCTGTTCCATGTAGAGTTTTTCTCCCTGGTGCACTCCTGTTATTTGAAATTGCTGGGTGTCCTACTTGAAATTGGAATGTGAATCATAAGAATAAATGGACAGTCCTTGTCATTCCATATGACAATGGAGTAGCTACTCCCAACTTTTCTGTGATGGCTGTACGTCATTGACTAGTCTCTTTTGTGGCGATCAAAATGTACAGTGCATGTTATATAAATCAGTTTTGCTTCCATGACTTTTATTTCCATTGCACAGCCCACCATAATTTATTTTAGTTGCAGTGGCTGCTGGGTTGTGGGCCTCTGGTTTGCAAAGCATTTGTGGATGCCGCTGCTTGCTGCGGCTTGCCATGTCATGTGAATCCAACGCCGAGCTTAGTTTGTGATGGTAGGCAAAGTAAAAATAGCCCTAACAGATGCTAGCGGGTGAGAGTTGTTCATCCCTCCAAACAGTCCATAACACATGAGTTTGCCTGACATAAGCGACAACTGTGTGGCTGCCTGCATATTCAAAATGGTGGCCAGCAAGCTACCGGAAACCCATTGCATGAAGACAGCCCCATTACGGGACTCAAAATGGCTGCCCCCACACACTGAGAGCAAACTTACTGTGGTTTTATCTGTGCAGCTATGGTGTGTGTGTACCACAACCCTTCTAGAAGGGACAGTCCAGTTGGTTGTCAAGGCCCCACAAAGGTGACCTACCCACATGGCTCCTACATTGGCACCCAGACACCACAACTACACAGAGACCCCTTGAAAAATGGCTCCCATGTCGGTTGCTGTGTGTAGGGAAGAGGCACAGAATGGCCTGCCTTTTCTCTCCACACGCATCTGAGTTTATTAGGTTATTATGCGTCACCGTGCGTTTACTACACTCTTTCTTTACCTCAGCTACAAGACTTGCTTTCTTAAAATGTTACCTCAGTGAACATGAGGTCATTGACCAGCCAGAAACCCTGACTCATGCAACTTTCACCTCACCAAATTTCGTTTAAATGAAAAAGATTTAATCTAATGTCCCTGAGCTTTTCACTGGTACGCATCTGACATGTTCGGCAGCATTTTTATATCCACACCAAGAAAAGTTAATTTTGCAACTTTCTCCCACTTGACTGTTCTGGCTGTGGATGATGGTTGTTGTAGTCCAACCTCTATTGAACTGCATTGGGGAAACTACTGGCTGCCAGGAATGGTGCCCGGCACCAGGAAAGAAGGTTGGCTGCAGGGGAAGGTCGCTGGCAGTGCAACCAAGGATCTGCAAGCATCCGTGGGCTTCCTCTTGGCTTGGCTTGTTTTCCAAGACCAGGCTGAGCATGAAAGAAAGTCCACGGATTCTGGAGGGATGGATTCTGAAAGGGCTGGTCCCAGAAAGCAACTGGGGCAGTTCCAGGGGAAAAAAATCTTGACAACTCTAAACCATCCCCTCTGCCCCAAAACACATGCACAAAAGAGGATACCAGTTCCACCTTCCTGAATTGAAATCCATTTCTAATTGAGGATTTCTGAATTAGGAGTAATCCTCCTTTCTTTGAGTACTGTTAGAGGACTGCCTGTTTTGCTTTCTTAAACAGAGCAACACTGTGTCATCATGGGACATGCTGCTCAGAGGTTGGGTGGAACGCACCCCCTAGCTAGTTCCCTCTGACCCAGGAGCTGCATCAAACTGGTCGCAGGTGTTTTCAGAGAATGGCAAAACTGGAGTGTCACTTCATCACCTTCGTGAGTTTCATGATCTCACCCATCCTTCATTTTTGCATGTGTATGCACATTTTTCTTCCAACTGTCCAAACTCAGCCAGAGAATCTGAAGGACATACAGCCCAACTTGACAGGCAAATGCCCAAGCTCAAAATAATTTGCAAATGCTGAAAAGTTCTCCATTTTCCTACTGAACAAGCCAACGCAGAGCTTGTCTGAGGATCCAGTGCATGTCAGGATAGCCTCACGGGACCCTCCATGATTTTTGGAGCCTGCTGTTTTGTAAATAACGTACCTTATAGAAATAAAACAGAGCTTGATGTGGCGAGAAGCCAGGATCTGAACTGGCAGAACAATTCTATGCGTGCCTATTCTATGAATTCAGTGGGTGTTGTTTGTGAGTGTGCACAAGACTGCAATTGTAGCCATCAAGCAATTTCACCACCTTGTCTGTTCTGCTGGTCCAGTGGATGTAATTCAGTGCACTCTGTGTGTGTGTGTGTGTGTATGGGTGTGGGTGTGGGTGTACTCCTCTCTATAGAAGTACCTAAAACATGTGAATGTGTGTTTTATTATGGCAAACCTCAGACAAAGATGAATGTTCTGCTTTCTTGTACACTGAAAAAGCACAACTGCAGTGACTGCTGGCTCAGTGGTTTTGTAATGAGACAACACTGCATATTTAATGATGTCATTGTGCGCGTGTGCAATGGTATGTACACCTATTAAAATCTTGTTGAAAAATGCATTTCTATTCATGACTCAAACCAAGAATCTCAAACCAAGAATCTTCCACTTGTGTGTGGACTCTGCTTGACATCTCTCAGCTACAACCAGAATAGTATTATTTCCAATGTATTTATTTATTAGAGTTTTATTCCACCCCATTTAGTCAAAAGGCTTCCTGGGCAGGGTCACTGTGGCAGTATGGATGTTTGTCTGTCTGTTTGTTTGTTTGGAACATTTATATGCCGCCCCATTCGCAAAAGCCTCGGGATTTGTTTAATAAAGGGCTTTCTTAGACAAGGCCTTTATGTGTGCATCCCATCCCTCACTCGTGGTAGTTCTTCAAAGGACAATGGCCTCTTCCAACACCTTTCTGATGCTTTCCAATATTTTTTGTGCAAGATTTTTGCACTAGGGGAAAGCCAACATTTGGGGCAATGGTGGACTGAAACATGGCAACCTTGGTATTGAAACATTGGTAGCCTTAGGATACCAATCTCCTGCCCAGAACTAAATCCCCCCCCCCACAAAGCATAACATCCGAGGCCACAAAGCAACAAAGCTGTCATTCATTTCTTTATTTTTAAATTCAACATAATTCTCCATAAAAACATACCAACCACAGGACAGGAACCTGAAGCCAGCAAGCCGCTGCAATGGCTTGAAAGACGTTGCTCAGAGCTGCAAGAACAGTTTCATAAACCTGTTGACGGGATCCGTTTTTCCAGGGAGAAAAGAGTTTTCCTCCAGTGGGATGAAAAGAGGTGAGAGAAGAAACCGGGAGGTCCAGTTGCTTCAAACCATCAAGCGGGATCCAGGGACGTATTTCGTACTTGTCCATACATTCGTTCCCCCGTTGTGGCTCAAGCTTCTCTTGCACTGATAGCAACGACGGTACTTTGCACACTGGTCAAGTAGCAGAAGTTTGTCCCCGGCCCTGCAGTAACAGGAAATAACATGATTTGGAGAAGCGAGGAGCATCCCTGATGCTGAAACCTGCGTTCCCCACCCATGCTCAGAGCCAGACGGATCAGCATGGCTCATGGCCTCTCTCTGGACTGAACTATGGAACCTTTTCACCCATGAGTCAAACTCGAACTGCGGGAAGCTTCCAGCAGCGCTATTCTGGTGGTGGGTGGGGCCTGAGGCCAAGGGGGCAGGGCCAGAATAGCACCCTATCTTAGCGCAAAGTTCTGACTGGCAGTAACTAAGCTTTAGGAGAGGTATTGCAGCCCTTTAGAATGGAGGAGAGAAACTGCTCAAAAGCAAATTGATGGCAGGGGTGCAGCTGAGGGAGCGGGGCAAGGTGTTGTGCAGAAGAACGCAGTGTTACAGGGGAGCTGAATTTGGCCACTGGGGCTGATACTCTGTACCCTGGCTCAGGGAAGGGGTCACAGCTCGGCAGCAACGCCCTTGCTTTGCACCCAGACGGTCCCAGGTTTTGTCCCAGGTCCAGTTCCTGGCGTCTCCAGCCGAATGACCAAGGTCTTGAGTGGGCATCCCTGGAGATGCTCACACCAGAGACCTTCCGTTGCCCATCGGAGCACTACATGTGGAAAGGAATGGGAATGAAGGTGCATCAAACGATCAACACTGGAGGGACTTAATTAGCCCCCGTCTGCATGTTGACTTCCTCATTGCTGCTCTCACTCCTCTTGCACCGGTAGCAGCAGGAGCACCTTGCACACGGGTGCAAGCATTCTGTCTTGCCACATTTCCTGCCGCCTCAGAATTCTCCAGGAGTGGCATGAACCTTGGTCAATGATCCACGCTGATGGATCAGGGCAGCTTAGAATAGCAGCCTGGTGCTCTTGCTGAGAGGTGCAAGGATCCTGAAGGCTCTTGGAGAGCTGGAGACTTTTCTTAGAGAATCACAGTCGTGGTGGAAGGGGCCAGTCCCCAAGTTAAGCACCCCTCTCAGATGGCTGCCCAGGTGCCCCTCTGGAGCATGTCCGGTTCTTCAGCACGGACCTTTCACAAGGTGGCACGGAACAGTGATCTCAGAGCAGCCTTATACAGAGGCTCCCTGCATGCACTGCCAGGGATGCTTTTGCAGCATTCCCAGCCTCAGCATGACGCACCCTCTGCAGAAGGGGAAGGAACCTGCACGCTGGCAAAATAAATGGCTGCGCTTTGCCTCCACAGGCTCACTGCAAAGGCTCGGGGTGCTTCCAGGCAGAGTCAAAGAAGCCTCCTCAGTCTGTCTGTTGTCCCTGAGGGCTTAACATACAACACGAGGGGGTCATCTGACTTTCCGCAGCCCGCCCTCAAAATGTGGAGGAACTGATTTCTCACCTTGACAGCCCGAGAATGGGGTTGGGATGTAGTGGGACCACCCTACTTTGCCTCGGCTTGTTAGTGCTCCTTTTCGAAGTGGGAAAGCATTTTGATGGGCAGGACCAGAAGAAAGAGAAATGGCGACATCGAGAGATCCCAGTCCTGATAGTACTGGACTGGCACTCCCGAGACGCAGGGTGCCAGATTCACGGGTGACCAACACCACAGAGCTGCCAGGGTAGAACATTAGGACGCTGCCATGCGAGCTACGCTTTCAGCTTAGCTCCAGGATCCCCAGCTGCTTGGCAGGCTCCCCTTCTTCCCAGCTCTTGGGCTGACCCAGAGGCAAAGAATGAAGCTGGGCCTTTACCGCTGAAAGAGCTTCTCTTCGTAGTCCCTCTGCCTTTTCAGCTCCGCGCTCTTCCGCCAGTCGTCCTGCAGTGCCAGGTTCATCTGGAAGATCCTCTCAAGCCGTTCACCTTTTTCAGCCATCCACCTGGGAAAGCAGGGAGCGGGGATTCAAGATCTGGACCCCCTTCAGCTCGATCACAGAACTGGGATGAATTGTGCAAAACAAGGGACGGCCTACATGGTTGTGGAGCTTAGCAAAAGGGGACACACAAGAAACCTTGAACAGATGGGGAAAATCCAAGTCCTAGAACGGTGCGTATATCTACACGGTGCATTATAATTAACAATGCGCATAATATGCATTATAATTAATATACTATATCATGTGATTAAAATAGTTAGGTCTGATAGATAAATAATTTCGTATTTCTCATAGAATCCCTGCTTGCACTGCACAGAGCACGGGGTTCTGCAGAATACACGGTGGGAAATGCTTGCGATGGACAATGGAGAGTAAGGACCATTTCGCCAGCTACAAAAGGAAGACCGCCCCACTTAGCAGCCACTGTGATCCACTGCCATAGCATCTAACAAAATTTCAGCTGCCATCCCTGTGTAAATTCAAGGTGCTGGTTTTGACCTATAAAGCCCCGAACAGTTTGGGACCGGGATACCTGAAGGAATGTCTCCTTCCTTATATGCCCTCATGCCCCTTAGGATCAGCAAGGGAGGCCCTGCTCCGAGAACTCTCCCTGAAGGTGGTAAAAAGGAGTAGGGCCTTCTCTGCGGTGGCACCGATTATGGAATGCGCTCCCCAGAGAGGTTCACCTGGCACCAAACTTATACTCCTTCCGGCGCCAGGTCAAAGCCTTTTAATTTAACTGTTATTTTAAAAATTAGTATTTTAATGCAAAAGTTGTGTTTTATTGGCTATAAGTTACTCATTGTTTAGATTGTTTTTTATCTGTTTTTACTTATTGTGAGCTGTCCCGAGATGCCTTGCATAGGCGAAGGCATATAAAAGAATTACATACATACATACATACATACATAATAAACTAGCCACGGTTTGCTCTTTCCTGGCAATTAGGTAGCCCATACTAGGGCAAGATCTACCGATAAGATCCGAATAGGTTACAAGATCCTTACAGCATAAGATCGGGGGTGAGCAATGCACGGCCCATGGGCTGCATGAGGACCACCCAGGTCTTCTGCAGCCATCTCCGTGCCTGCCAGTGAGGCCCAAGTTGCTGCAGTGATAAAAACCAGCATTTTCTCCTTAGAACAGGACAGCCAAAATAACCTCCCAGGGCAGCCAAAGACCCAAAAGAAACCTCCCGGGGTAGCCCAGGAACCAAATAACCCCACAGGGCCGTGAAGAAATTTCCCAGAGCCGCTCAGGAGCCAAACCAGCCCCCCAGGGGAAGCCCACCCCCCTGAACTCTGTTGCAGAGATGGCCATGCAGCCATTCCTGCCCTTACTGTTTCTTCGCCCTTTGGATCATATCTGCCTCCTTCCTCTGATCGATCAGCTGGCTGAGGATTGCCGCCCGCTTGCGCTCTGCAGACGCCTGCAACTGGCATTTGGAATAGTGCCGGGCTCGCTTCTTTCTCTCTTCCATCTTCTCCTTATTCATGTCGTTCTTCCCGAAGACGAACTCAGCCGAATTGGGCTCACAATGTGGCAGCAGAGCAGGCCTCAGCTTGATCTGTGTCCGAATGAAGGAGAATGTTGCATTTAGAAAAGTTGCCTCAAGCACACCTCTTGCTTGCTTGCTATGGAAGCCAGAGGAAATGGGCATCCGTGTATGCAGCGTCTTGCACAAACAAAATGTGGGTCTCCACTGTGAGGACTGGGTATGTTTAGCCTTGAGAAGACTGAGCAGAGACAAGCTGTCACACCGAATGGGCCAGGATCTCGTCTCGATCTTCCCAGAGTGCACGAAATAGAAAAACAGGCTCAAGTACCAGGAAACCAGATTCTGGCTGGGCATCAGGAAAAACGTCCTGCCTGTTCAAGCAACAAGGCAATGGAGCCAATGACCTTGCGATGTCATGGGCTCCCCCACCATGGAGGCATTCCAGATGCGGCTGGACAGCCCTCAACAGGGATGCGTTAACTTCGAGTCCTGCACTGAGCAGGGGGTTGGACCGATCACAGAATCATAGAATGGTGGAGTTGGAAGGGGCCATGAAGGCCATCGAGTCCAACCCCCTGCTGCTGCAGGACACCACGTTGCACCATCCCACTCAGAGGGCTGCCCAGTTTCTCCGTGAATGCCTCCAGTGTGGGAGAGCCCACCGCCTCTCCAGGCAGCTGGTTCCACTGTCGTATTGCTCTGACAGTGAGGAAACTTTTCCTGATGTATAACCTGAATCTGGGTTGTCGCAACTTGAATTGATTATTCCGTGTCCTACACTCTGGCATCAGCAAGAAGGGACCTTGACCTTCCTCTCTGTGACAGCCTTTGAGGTACTTATAGAGGGATATCGTGTTCCCCCCCAGTCTTCTCAAGGCTGAACATGCCCAGTTCTCTGAGTCTCTCCTTGTAGGACAGTGTTTCCAAACCCTGGATGATTTTTGTTGCCCTCCTCTGGACCCCTTCTAATTTTCCTGCATCTTTCTTAAATCATGGTGCCCAGAACTGGACCTGATGGCCTTCTTGGCCCTTTCAGCAATACTAATATTCTATGATTCTATGACTGCGGTATGTATACATATAGAGCACCTGGTAAAGCTTGCCTTCCCGAGCAACCTTAACTCTAATCCTCTCCGCAAAACAGGGTCAGCACCATGGACAGTCCCTTCAAAGCTCAGGCTGCAACTGGGAGCAGACGCACCACCCCCAACACAGGGGCCACCACCATCCGCCATCCGCCTGGGGACTGGCATGCTGGTCCTCCATCTGTCAGGATCTGGGCTGCTCTGGGGCGCCATCTGGTGGCCAAAACTAGAATGTACACCTATTTGCAGGATGAGGCCTAGCCTCCTGATAAGCACCAGCTGCAAGACCTGGGGAGCAGTGGGGGAGCTGCATAACAGCAAGCTCTTCCGGCCACTGCTGGCTTTAGCGACACTGGTCTTCCTGCCTGTCGTCGTGTACCTCAGTTCTTGCATGTTGCCTCAGCGATACTGCTCAGCCATGATGCGTTTCAGCTCCTGCGGCTTACCTGACCGCGCCCCTGCCTCTCCCTGCTGCCTCCTGATGCTTCTGAATCCCACCTGGTTTGGGTGCTGCTCCCTGCTGCTTGTCCTCCTGGTTCTTCACCGTTGGCTTGCGCATGGCCACACCCTGGCTTGCCCCCATGCCCAGACCCTGCGACCGTCAAGCTCAAGGCCTGAGAACAGAGCCCTTGGGGAGAGGGGCACCCTGGGCAGGACTTGACACACAGACTGCTTCTTGGAACAAGGAAGGGCAGCTTCTGCGAGCCACCCCAAAATGCAACCCACCCCATATTTTAGACATACAGTGCAGGGAGAAACCTCCGCTACCATTCACTTTTTTGGGGGGAGTGGAGTTCCAGCCAGCTTCTCCGGGTGCCTCCATTCAGTTAGACTGCCATGGTTTACCCTCTCATCTGGGACCAAGCAGACACACACAGAACGGTGATGCTAGAGTTTGTGGCCCTCTTTGTTTACCTGTGTGTCCAATGCCCTCTTATAACATTGTATTTCCTCCATTTTGTCTTTGAGATATTTCGCTCTTTGCACAGCTAACCTAGAAAAAGAGACAAGCCACATTCAACCAACTGCGTTTCGGGAAGATTTGCTCTTGGCTGGTGGCTGATGTAGGAAAGGCTGAGAACAGCCCTTCTCCAGGGACTCACTCTTCCGCCAGCTGCACTTGCTCCAGGCGGTCGATCAGGTCCTGATCTTGCTTTCGCTTCACCTCCTTTGCTACATTGTCTTCCAATTGCTTCTCCAATTGCTGCGAATACACCTCTTGCTTTTGCTGAGGGGTGGAGCTAAGGGGCCTCTTCTCGAAAATGAAGGATTTCTATCAAAGAAGGAAGCATGCCACATGAAAATACAACTCATCTCGTCCCAGGCAAATGAAAAATTAGGGTTTTCTCAAAATTGTACAAGTGAGATCACAGATACACAAGAGGAAGCTTCTAGTGAACTTGGTTAGCTTCAGAAAGGCAGCATAAACACTGAATCCTATTTGTTATATACATGCACACTACTGCCAAGTAGTGAAATAGTTCAGGAGCTCCAGAGTCTCTAGGGTTCTGCTTCTGGGGGCTCATGATGTTTTGGTGATACAAGCTTTATGTGCACATGCATACAGTCTGAGCACAAGATCAAAATTCACAGCTTTAACACCGCATTTTATTTTGCATTTTGGGATTCCTGCACCTCCCTTGCAGAAAACAAAGCAAAATCCCTGCCTGCTTTCAGCTCCACTTCCAATACTCACTGACCATGCACACGGCTTGCTTCTGTGGTGCTCCGCTCACATGCCGTTTCTTTCCCCCCTCTTAGGGAGGGGGGAAAGAAAAAAGCAAGCCCCCTTCCAGAATAGTCTATGGACTGGTCACGTGATTGCTGCAGTCCAGCATGGCTTAGTAAAGCCATACAGGTTGCAGCGTTTGCAGTCCACCATGTTCAATATTCAACCCCAAGTAGTTTCTTCATGGCGTCTGAACCAGGGCAAAGGGTTTGCTTGAGGCTGAACAACCCTCAAATGGCCCTGTGATAGGCCATGGGTCATTGAGGGGTACTTGACTTTCATTGGATTCATTCCTGTAAGCGATTTTGAGAATATGGCTGAAGGCAGTATAAAATATCTGCAAGACATGGATGCAGATCTCCAGAAAATAAGTCTACTAGTAGTAATTAAGAGGGCAGAAACTTAGAAACAGAGTCAGAAGCGGCCTCCTGGGCCATCTAGTCTGACCCCCGGCTCCAGCCGGCTCCGCTCACGACATGCCCACCACATGCGCATCCAGCCTATCCTTGAACACCCGCACCGATGGGGCCTCAACCACCTCCCGTGGAAGCCCATTCCACACCCTCGGGGTCCTAACTGTCAGGAAGTACTTCCTGGCATCCAAATTGAACCTTGCTTCCCTGAGCTTTGCTCCGTTGGAGCACGTCCTGCCTTCCTCTGCAGGGGAGAACAGGTCTCTACCCATCTCCGTGTGACATCCCCTCACATACCTGTATGTCGCCAACATATCCCCCCTGAGTCTCCTCTTCTCCAGGCTGAAGAGACCCAGTTCCCTCAGTCTCGCCTCATATGGCATCCCCTGCAAACCGGCCACCAACCTTGTGGCCCTACACTGCACTGACTCTAACCTGGCTATATCTTTCCTGTAATGAGGGACCCAAAACTGCACACGATGCTCCAGTTGCGGGCGCACCAGAGTCGTGTAGAGTACACCCATCTGGCAGGCCAGATGTGTGAATCTCACAGGATAATCTTGGCTCAGTCCCTCTTCAGGCTAACCTGTTTCACAGGGCTGTTGTAATGAAAACTGGGTACAGGCAAAGAGTTCTATATGGGGTCCTAAGTAGTTTTGTAATGTAGAATTCTCCAGGTATGCAATCCATGCAAGATCCTTTTATTTTATGATGCTTTGAGACTAAGCAGGTGCTTCCAGGTGGAGACCTTTAGCATACCTTCTTGTCTTAAACTCTATGCAAAACTGAAACTCCCTTTCCAAATGTTGGCATGTACAGTACTTAATTTGTACATACACTCTACTCTACTCTACTCTAGTTTTTGTCCACACTAGAGGGTGCAACACAGCAGTGTGGACAGGAAAGGAACAATGCACTGTAGTTTTGGCAGTGTGTGGATTATTTCAACCGATTTTTCACCTCTGCAGTAAAATGCATTTTCTGGCCTTTCTTTTCCCAAATGTCCCGCACAGTGTCTGTTTCCAGTCTTTGCAAAGGAATTAAAAGAGTTACACAATCAGTTACAACTAAGTGCCACTTTGAGTTCTTAAAAAAAGGTGGGATATAAATCAAACAAATAAATTAAAACAAGTGCTACTGGGCAAATCTTTCAATAGTTCATTTTTCAGTGTAGGCATACAACATTTTTAGTGCAAACTACAATGCTGATTTTGAAAACAGATAAGATGCTACACAATATTGCAGACCGGACTGGTTTTTAAGAAGTTGTGCCAAAGCGATAGAATCAACCTGGTGAAGTGTTACAACTTGTCAAAATGATGCCACTTTAAACCCAAAAGAAAAAGGAACAAAAGAGACATATCTTTGTGTTAACCGGTAGAAGATGTGGTGCCGTTATTCCATCCTTTCTTCCCTAGCAGATGATCTTCCAAAAAAAGAAAAAAAAGATGGAAGATTAAGTATGAAAACCATTGCCATGGGATGTGGTGGGCTCCCCCACACTGGAGGCCTTCAAGATGCAGCTGGACCGCCATCTGAGAGGGGCGGTTTAACTGGGAGTCCTGCACTGAGCAGCGGTTGGACCTGATGGCCCTCTGGCCCTTCCAACTCTATTGTTCTGCAAGTCTATGATTCTGCATAACATCCTTGTGAGGAGCGGAGGAGGACCACCTGGAATTGGCTTGAGTCCCTTGCGAGATGAAAACAGGTGGGATATAAATCTAATAAACACACAAAGAAGCAACCTATCGGGTGGTTCCTTCTTTCTTCTGTGGACTCGAGGCCATAGACATGGGATTCCCAAGCACGAACCAGACCCAGCTTTTACAGTTGCCCACCTATATGTCCCCAGACCATGCCGTGGCAGCATGAAGAAAATGTGCTCATAAACACTGAGAAGAAATAAAAATAAAAGCCCTAAACACGTTCCCCAGATAATGGTTGATTTTAAAATACATGTTGCAGAACTTATCAGTTCTTAAGAATGTAAGAAGTTGAGTTGCTCATCTAGCCCACTGGAAGCCCCCAAGCAGCACACAGGTACAACAGGATCCTCCCACCCATGTTCCCCAGCAGCTGGTGTACACAGGTATGCTCTCTCTAGAAGCAGATGTAGCACAGAGGCATCAGGACTAGGAGCCATGGGTAGCCTTCTTGTCCCACTGGCAACAGAGAAGCAGAAACTAACATTCCAGCAATCTTAAAAACATAAATTTAATTATTAGATTTATACCTTGCTTTTTTATTTTTTTAAAGAACTCAAAGTGGCTTACAACTCTCCTCCTGCTGCTGTCAATCTTGCCTTCATGAGAGCCACCCTGTGAGGAAGGTTGGGCTTGCGACTAGCTTAAAGTCACCCAGATGGCCCCATGCCTGAGCGGGGTCTAGAATCCAGATCGTCTGAGTCCCAGTCCTGTGCTCTTGACCACCACACCACACTGGTTCTCCAGTGAATATATGAAGTGAATATGAGAACAAGTTGCACAGACTCAGAGGATCCTATCCCAAAGTCTTCCTCAGGAGCCCCATCATAAGGACAGAGCTGGTGTATGTTCCCACTCTCTATCAACTTAAAAATAGGTCCATTTGCACCCGCTCAGCATATTGCGACCCAGGAAAACCCTAAAACCAAGATCTCTGGTGGGTGGTAGAAAACACTATGCAAAATAATGATTCAGGAAGACCGGCACCTTCCCTCCTGACCCTCTTCCAAGACTTCTTGGGAGGAGAGTTGTTGAAGCTTTAGGAAAGTGCAAACAAAATACTGCTTTTGACAGGAGATATCAGTGCAACTAGAAGATTGCATGCAACAGCACAATCTTACATAGGTTTCGGTAGGTTTTTCGTTCTTATGGCTTCTCACGGCTTCAGCAACCCCGAGGTTAAATGCTGCTACCTTCTGGTTTTGCTCTCGGTTTGCCATGTCTCGCATCTATAGTAGAAGAGATTATGAGATGCATTTGGGGCAAAAAAGAAGGGGTAAAAGATGGCAAAAGCATATAGGAAGATTCCAGAAAATAAGGATGAATGCAATGCAGTATGTCCTCTCATTTTCTCTCTCTCTCTCCTCCTCCCACCCCCACACCTGAAAGGAGATTCTGATACCAAGAGAGCTTTCAAACAACACATTTCCCAAGTTCATTTGGAGCTGGTAGTGAAGACTAGAAGGTGCCTTTTGACCTTTATTTATTAGCCCATTTCCAATTTTCTACTCAGGCCAGAGGCCATTTCATGAGATCTGTGAAGGTTCGGCCACAGATGCTCTGCTCTGAGTCTGGAACTTCCTGTATGCCAAAACAGGGCTTTACCACTGAACTGTGGACTTTTCCTTAGTGGCCAGTGCGGACTGTACCACATATGGTGGCTGAACAAGTGAACTCCCTATTTCTTGGTGGTTATTACCAAGCTCCCTGGCAGGGATACATGTCTAGTACCAGACATCAACAGAGCTGGGCTCTCAGAACCAAAACCGAGTCTAACATTTCTCTCTCTTCACATAAGACATGGCCAAACAGACAGCGCTATGACTGTTACACAACAGCAGAGAGTGTCTCCACAGAGTCTAATGTGACTGGGACTCTTCAGCAGTTCCTCTGTTCCCAGGTCTCACTGCCTCCCACTCATCACAGACCATGTCTCAGATTCCTCTGGACTTGCAATAGCTGGAAGTCTCTCTGCAAGGACATTTTCCTGGGCTCCCCAAATTGCTGGATTGGGGTCTGCAAGACCGTGACTTATTCCCTCCTCAGCTTGCTAGCCTGTTCAAACCTGCCCTACTTGAAGACAGATGTGTCTCCTGGTCTATGCTCTCTGATGCTGGAAGGAGAGAGGACTCCAGTAGGCAGCAGAGCTGGGCATTGGCCAGGGTCCCAAGAGCATCCAAGGCCCACCAACCCAGCTCTGCCATCATTTCAACTTTGCCTAGAGTATCCAGGGTCAGAGGCAGCCTCAGGTGGTTTTCAGTCCCCAAGCCCTGTCTCCCCCAGGCTAGCAGGACCCACCAAAGATTTTGTGGCCAAGATCCCACCCCCAAAAGAAAAATGCTGAAGGCAACACTGGAAGGTATACATTTCTGACATTATGTGGGGCAATACATAAGTTCTATTTTTGGTGTGTTCGTCCTGTGACGATTCTTTCCTGCCCACATGCAAGTTAAGTTGACATGGAGGGAGGGCTGCCCACGTGTGACTTAGCCCTGAATAAAACAAGCATTCTTTGTCTACATACCAGCTGCCTATGAAGGGCATCTTGATCTTTTTGGGCCTGATACTGGGCCAGAATTCTCTCTTCCTCCTTCTCTTTCCTCCTCCGCTCCTCGCTCAGGTTCAGAGGAACATTCCGCTGAGCACGCTGCATGCACAAATAGCACATTTCCTGCAAGTGCACAAAGTGCGACACGTTGTTATTACTTGTTGAGGAGCATTTACTTATTTCTTTTGACATTTTAGCCCCTGTTTTCTTCGAGATTCAAAAGAAGTGCCCAGCTAGAAGCCACGCTTCTGGCTATAATCAAAATGGGCCCATGTGGTTAAGAGAAAGCTTTGCAATTTTGGAGAATGCCACTGGTATATTTAGTGGGTAGTTATGCTAATGTTGTTATTTGCTATTACTTATGCACCTGTGACAAGGGGAAAATAGAGCCTATGGGAAATAAAATATCGCACTGCTGGTGTGCACCTTTCCAGATTACCAAACAAGTGGAAATTCATCTTGCAAAAAGAGAGGACAAAAACGGAATCAACTGGCACAGCATTTGCCTATGCTAATGAACAAGTTGAGAGGCAAAGGTTGAAATAACAACTTGAAAAGAATCACAATATATCTCAGCATTCTGGGAAGGATGGTGACCCAGAGACCTGTCTATTGTCCAGTTTCTAACAGTGGATGGATAGTTCCAAGGACTTCTTATGGTTCTTTATCTTTAAGCTGGACTTGGACTAGACCATTCTTTAAACTGAGGATACTTTCAGAGAGAGGATTCTCCTCTGTAAAGTAGAACACATGGCCATTCCAAATCACATCCAGTTTTATTTGCTACAATAATCACAATATCAGTAACTGCACTGCACACATTTTAAAATTGATGCAAGACAGGTTTCTTTTCTTTGGGAAGGCTTCTAGCCATTGCATATTAAATATTTAAATTTAAATATGGATATTTGGTTTAAAATACTTATTTTTAAGCCATGGGTATGTCCAACATATCCTATGGAATCTTAATTTGCTTAAATATCTATATCCCTGCTGGGTTATAGTAGTGTTTAAGGCTGCAGTCCGATGCATGGATCCATAATCCGATTATGGATTTCACATGGGAATCATGTGGAAATCAGTAAGTTAACTGGGACAAGTCTGGTCCAAAAGACTGCATTCTCCCATACAAACCTGTCTGGGTTTTAACATCTTCGAAGGAGGCCCTTTGCTCAGTCTCATTGTCACCAGAACGTTTGTGGGGAGAGATAAAAGAGAGCTTTCTCCTGTCCACTTTTAGACGCCGCAAAGCCAATGTGAGCCCCCAAACCTCAGTTCCGGTGCACTTTAGCTTAAAGGTCTTACGGCCAGTCTTTCAGAGAGGCAGTTCAACCTTTTGCTATGTGGGAGTCACTGTCCAAGAGCCACGAAACCTCCAAAAAAATAACTGGAAAACCCCTGGAAGGCTGAACTGGGGCTTCTGCTTTATGGGAGTGAGCTCCGTTTGATTCCACCAAACTACCCACCAACGGTACCTACCTGTGGCCAAAAAAAAGACCCTATGCTGCAAAAGTGCTTAGCATAATTAACATGTTGATTTGATGGTTGCAAAGTGCCCATGACTTTGTGTGACAGTTTTAAAAATGTAGGTCTGCAGAAACTCTGGGCAGCAAGTTGGCTAAACCCACACTTGCCCAGGTAGATGAGAAGAGTCATGGGCCTAGTGTGCCCTTTGTAAACACGCAAGTTCCAAATGCCATTCAGGCACGCTTAGACAGAACGAGTCCTACAACTCCCAGCATGCTCCAGGCAGCATGAATAAAGTCCTACACCTCAGCTCCCACCTGCCTATAGGAAACCCACCACTGAGGACCTGGGTGTGAGAACGCCATTCTTCTTATATTCCCCACCAATTGGTTTATATATGCAGACATACAACCTCTGATAGTGGAGGCAGCATAAGCCATCAGGGCTAGTAACCTTTGATAGCCTTCTCCATGAAGGTGCATCCTCCCCTTCTGGAGCCATCCCAGTTGGCAGCAAAAACGCATGGATCCGTCCGGAGTGTCTGACCAATGTGCTTCATGGGATGATGCCAGGTTCCAGTGAAAAGGTAAACATCCACCTTTCGCCCTCTCCTCCCCATGCACCATGCTGTATAACCCTACAGACACCCCTTCAGTTTACAAGAGCTGAGCCAGGCTGTCACGGACAGGCCATTCTGGAGGAGACTCATTCTTAGGGTCACCATAACTCAGGGACAACTGAGTACGTAATAAGGGGCAACTCAGCAGCACGTAATAACATCATATATCCCTGCTGAGAACTGGAGTTCCTCCTTCACGCATTCAAAGCCACAGACCATTTCCTTGCAGAGCGTTCTTTATTGGCCAAAAAGCATAAAACACCCAGCATGAATGAGCATCACAGTGCAGTTTGTAGAATGCAATCTAGTATTTGCCTCCAGGAACTCACCTTATGAGCATGCCTGGGCCCACTCCTTTGGGAGGGGCCTTCTGAAAACGAGCACACCTTGCCTCAGCACGTCAGTCCTCTAATTGGGCCACCCTCCTCTGCTGACAACGCATCATGGGGTCAAGAGCTATGACCGCCTTGTCTGAGTCTGAGTCACTCCACTGCTTCAAGTCCCCTCCCACCAACTGTACCTCTTGGTTCTTCCCACCTCATTTCTCATCTCCATGTCTTGGAACGGCCCCCATTCCTATCCTCCGGCAGCCCATCCTCCTCCTCCTCCTGATTCTTTGGAAGCCCAGCCAGCAGGCCTTGAGAACGTGCTCCCAAAGCAGCCCTCTTTCTCACTCCCAACAATCCCTGCCTTACTCACCTTTCTTCTAAGCTATTACCGTTTGGGGTGTTTGTTTGCAGGGGAGTGTCCTTAAATGCATGATTTTTACTCACTCACAACTACCTGTATATTTTACTCACTGGAAGCCTAGGTTCAAAAAATCCATTGTCTGCCCACAGAGAGAGAGAGAAAGGCAGGTTGATACATCTTGCGGTCTCCAGACAATGGTCTCCAGGAGCAGGAGAACTGTCAGCAACCTCAAACCAAATGCAAAGGCATTGACTGTATAGGCCAAGAAATTGTGGCAACTGTGTGTAAACTATCCAAAACACAGAGGCCTTCCAAGCTCAACATGATTAATTTCTTTAGCTGTGATTAAAGCAGTTGAGAAGGCATCGCACACGGGCCCAGCAATAACAACAGAGAGAGCAACAGACAGCAATAAATCCATAGCTGGTGGTGAAGGGACAGGAATCCTGCAGGAAACACATCCGATGCAACCTCTCTTTGTGACACAGAATGGATGGCTCTCCAACACATTCATCGTTCAACAGAAGGGTGTCCGTGAGCCATGGGCCAAGAAGCATCCTCCTGCAGCCTCAATACGGGCCCTGAGCCTCCCATACAAAACGTCTCCTCCACAGCCACAGTCACTCGCCTACAGATAGGACTGGCAAAAAGAGGAAGAGTCACGTACTATACCTGTCCTGCCCTACCGTGATCTTGACAAACCGGGGGTGGAGTCCGGGATCTGGGGACAGGGATTTGGGCAGGTCTGACTCCCTGCTCTGTCTTCGAGGCGTCGGGGACAGGCGTCGTTTGCCTAGAGAACAAAAAATGCAACGAGTAGAAAGGTATCGCTTCTGAATACAGTCATAAAAAGGTCTCATATGATATCATGCTACTAGCAGAAAGCAGCAATGACCGGAAACAGTTCCTGATGAAAGTGAAAAGGCGGCACTGCAGCGGAATAGCAAGAAAACAAAAATCATGCCTACAGAAGACTTACAGGACTTCACTGTCAACAATGAAGACACTGAAACTGTGAAAGATTTTGCCTCCTTTGGCTCAGACACAGTTCAAAGGGAGACAGCCGCCAAGAAATTCGAAGAAGGCTGAGACTTGGTAGGGCAGCAATGAAGGAACTAGAAAAGATCCTCAGAAGATGTTTCACTGGAAACCTATGCCTAGAACATTCACACCATCATATCTCACTGTGTGTAAGTGGGAAAGCTGGACAGCGAAGAAAGTGGTCAGGAAGACGATTGCTGTGTTCGAAGCACGGTGCTGATGGAGGGCTTTGCAAACACCCTGGACAGACAGAAAGACAAGCAAGTGGGTCCCAGAGGAAATCAAGCCATACTTCCCCTAGAGGCAAAAATTACAAAACTGCGGTTGTCGTACTTTGGGCACATCATGAGAAGGCAAGACTCCCTGGAGAAGACAGTTGTGTTAGGGAAAGTTGAAGGTAGAAGAAAAGAAGAGATGGATTGATTCCATCCAGGAAGCCACAGCCTTGAACTTGGCAGAATTGAATGGAGCTGTCATGGCCAGGGCATTTTGGAGAGCAGTCATTCAACAGGGTCACCACGAGTGGGAGCTAACTCGATGGTACCCAGCAGCAGCAGCAAGCACACACAGCGGCTCCTCAGGGTCTATTTTGGACATATTCCTAGGGGAAGTCAAGGGCATGCTCCCCATCTCTTCCCTTGCCCTTGCTTCCTCCAGGACACTCCTGTGCCAGTGGCTGGAACATGGCACCACCAGCGCATCTCTCCCCATCCGATCAATCCATCCAAATGCAGACTGGGGGCAGGGCAGGGTTTCGGCATACTGCTTACCAAGGGTCTCTCATCCAAAGGAAACCACACCTGTCACATCTAATCAGCTGGGGAGGTCCTACAAACATTACACTGCAAAGCTGAAGGCAAATAAGTCAAACATTCTTCTTCCTCTTCATCTCTGGCATGTCCCTTATGAGAAGCAATGCCATAATAACTCTTCTTGCACAGAAAATGCCTCCGAGTCAACCCAGGACCCCACGCACAGGCCTCTAACGGAGGGGATCCAATTTCCCCCCTGGCCGGGTACAAAGGAACCCTCCCGATGAAACACAGAAGAGCTTCTGCAAGTTTAATTGTATGCAGCTCCGTCCTGATACATTTATCAGCGGCCCCAAAGAGCGACGGCAGGCATCCTGCACACCTCTGACAAGCCCTTAAAACATTTACAAGCACTGCTGCAAAGAGGAGGCTGCCCTCATCAAAGCATGGCAGCTTCTTGTCATCAGGGAGAGGGATAGAATTCACTTGCACCAAGAAAGAGAAGCTTAACCCTCTATGAATAAGGCTGATTGCAGCTCCCAAGGGAAGAAACCGAAGGAGTGGTGCTTCGCATTGCATCCTTCATAAAACGGCTCTTATGTCTGGGTACCAGTGCAAACCCTTTGTCCAAATACACTGAGGACTAGCTCCCTGCAGGCCAAGTTGAATATGAGGGTGGAGAGGGTCCAGCCCTGCACGCCTACCTGTCTCCAGGTGGTTTTTCTAGAAGACGAGGAAATGACAGGTTTGGGAAAGCGAGACTAGAGAGCTGCAACCAACTGCAGCACAAACTGTTGGGTGAGTCCAGGGGGCAGCAATTTTGGTCTATGATTCCTATCATGCAGAGCTGGCAAGGCCAATGGTGAGCCATGACGGGAGTTCGCCATTCGGCTACACATTCAAACAGTATCTCCATTACCAAGCCTCTGCATGGCTCCTCAGAAGTAAGCCTGAGCAACACGCATACTCAGAAGCAAGCAGGCCAAGCCTCAAGAGTAAGCTGGACTGCATCGCACAGCACCTTCCTGCCCAAGCACCACCCCACCCCTTCTCGCCAGCAGGGAAAACGTCCAATCCCGGATAGGATGTGGCTCGGGAATAAACCCTATTCCTTGCTGGCAGAGGAATCCGACTGGTGCCCTCTGCACTGAGATCTCACCTTGCAGGAGGAAGCTTGGGCTTCATGTTCTTCTCCAGCTCGTCGGTCAAACTGACCCCCGTGACTTGGGCTGGGGAAATCACTTGGCGAGAGAGAATGCGCTTCATGGAAACTTTTTCTGTACAAACGAGAGCAGAGGTTGCCTGGGAATCCCACTCTGCAGCTGCAAGAACTTGGTGAAGGGTCCCTATTGAAGCCAGCACTTCATCAACTTGACGGTCTATCAGCAATGCTCTTGGCATGCCAGGTACGGGATCCTGAAAGTCCAGTGCCTACAAGACCTTCCTCCAGCAGTGGTTCCAGCCATGTAACCTTCCAACTCCGTCTGTACCTGCGGTGCTTCGCTAGCCGTGCTGCAGGTGAGGTGTGGCTGGAAGCGGGACCACCGTTTTACCTTTCACAAAATGCACTTGAGATCTTGGCATAGTGCAAGTGGCCCCCTTAAAAACTGGCACCCCAATCCTTTGCATGCTTGCTCAGATGCTGTCAGGAGCTGGGTTCCCTCCTCCTTCCATTCACACAACAGACAGTCCCTTAGCAAAAGCGCCCACAGCAAGCAAACTAATCGCCAACAGAGGAAGAGTCTCTGAGCATGCACGGAGTGGTCCATTGTATCCAAGCTAGAAATGATTTCTGAGAACCCTCCTTTTCAGTAACCCTGGGCCCACCCCTTTGGGCATGCCCCTCAGGAGAAGGTCTGCCCTCCCAGATCTATGCAGGCCCCCTAGTTGGCTAGCCTTCTCTCCCACGGCTGTTTCATGGGGTCAGGGACTGGACCAGGCTCCTCTTCCTCCTCTCTCATGCCCCCTCCCTGCACTTCCGGACCCTGTCAGTTCCCAGGGTCTGCCTGAACACCTGGAGATGGCAGCCTTGAGATAAGCCCCCCTGCACCCCGCCAGCTCTAGGTCCTCATTTCCCAAGATTCACTTTCCGCATCCAGAGAGTCGGTGCCACCCGGGCCCTGGAAAGCATGCCAAGAATAAAGCCCTCTGTCATCCCCAGCAGATGCTGAGCCCCATGGCAGTCCATAGAGGCTGCAGAATTGCCGCCTGGGCAGGCCAGCCCAAGCTCTCCTGGTGCGTAAGGGTGGATGCCCTGCACACCACCACAGCGTCACCCACGCTCGCCCCCTTGCCGTCCCCACCCGTCCAGCTCTCAGGCATGTGGCAGAGGACCGAGGGGCTGCCTGGAGCGTCATGTTGGACAGTGAGAGCAGCCGCTGCAGCTCTGCAGAGAGCTGGCCAGTCCCAAGCGTGTGGGCTCGGGGGGGGGGGTCCTTCCCCAGAGCCAGGCTCTCTGAGAGGGGCATCCCAGGAAGGTGCCAATACCACGTGCCAAGATTGCAGAGCAAGGCAGAGGGAAGGCAGCTGCTCCAGAGAGACCCACCCACTGAGAGAGAAGGACCGGCAGGGCTCCCTGGACCAGCTGATCGAGCACCATGCGGCGGGAAGGAGCTCCAGAGAAAGTCACTGCAATACATCCCACAGGAAGAGAGGCAGGTGAACCTCCCCAGAGCCTCTCTGCAGCACCGCCTTGCTGGAGCAAGCTGGGCCCTCCTGGCAGGCCTCAGGGCTCCGGCATCTACTTTGCATAGATACATGTCAAAGGCTAGAACAAAGGCGCGTGTTAATAGGAGGAGTCCTCAAAAAGTTTCCACATTTTTATATTTTATAAATATATTTTATGTATTTTTTGCTGATGGCTTTAAAAAGTTGGTACGACGCTGGGAAAAATGCATTGCAAAGGAAGGTGACTATGTAGAAAAGTGATGTGATTTGTTGCTTGTGTGTTTTTTTGAATAAGTTTTATTCTTAATAGATCTAACAAAAAAGGCACTAAAAAGTCATCAATCATCAAAAACATCAGACCTACTGGGTCAGCCCCCCACATTTTTTTTTATGTTAAACTATAAACATATTTAAATCTATGCATAGTCCCGTTTCTCTAGCCTATTAATAATAAAAAGAGTCCCAGGTTTGATAGAAGTCTGTATCTTCTTTCTCCTTCAGAGACAAAGTCAATCTGTCCATTTCAGCACAGTGTTTTTGAAATTCTTAATAAATACAGTTTTTAAAAGTGTGGAAATTTTTGAAGACACTTTGTACAAAATATTCCCCCATGCCCCTAAAGTCATAAAGCAAAGTCATAAAGTAAGTTCTGATACAATACATATTGCACATATTTGATTTTTTCCAGAATTACCATTAAAAGCCTTTTTGTGTGGGAGTGAACTTGTTTTTGCCATGACTTCAAAGCTTCCAGAGAGTTTACATTTTTAGTCTGATTTTACATTTGAGTCTGATTTGGCCTTCAGAACCAAAATTCTCTGATCTTTTGGGGGAAACGGACATATTTGGAATTGTGAGAGAGCGCTGTGGGCCCTTTCACAAAATGGCTGCCACAGCAGGCTTGCCAACTCAAAACTGGGCTGCCATGGGGAATGGCCTGTCACCAAATACCCATTTCACAGAAGGGAAACTGGTGATGCCCAAGAAAACAGACGCAGGCAGAACCATCCACTCCTCTCAACACAGGTAAACACGAACAATGCACCCTCACAGACAAAACACACACAATCCACATCTGAAACCCAGCAGAGCACACAATCCCCCTGCAAAAGACACGCCACTCCAAAAGAAAGGGAATAACCCTGATCTTAGCAGCTGATCCTTTGCCTCGGAGCCTCTGGGCATTCCCTTAGAGCTTTATCCTACACGGAAATCCTATTCCCTTCTGTATGCATAAGCACAGGAGGGCAACAAGAGAGATGTCCAGGGCGCCTCACTGCAGACTCCATTTCTATCCAACTGCTTTCCAGCTGACAGTTCCAGTTGACTTCAGGCACATCCAAGAAAATCAACTGGGATTTAACACATGCCTTACCCATCCACTGAGCAAATTACAGTAATCTAAAACTCTCGCCCTACCTTTTTTGCTGTTTTCTTTGTCCGTCTGCTCCTTTTCTTTATGGGACTTTTCATCTTCTTCAGGTATGGTTTCCATTTCCTTCAGCTCAATCCTACAAGGGGGAAGAGAATAATCAACTGCCACCAAGGATTTACACAAACAGCCCCCACAAATCTCTTCACATTACACTCCCTTTTTAAAAAGGCAGGGAAAGAACTGGAAGCAGCAAACCAAAATACACAGTCCTTTGAAAGGTAAATGAGGCCTCTTTGTCTTCAGGAATGGCGGGGGGGGGGGGGCAGGCTTGCCAGACTCCTACCAGGCCCCAGACTACATGAGAAATGCAGGGTCCTCTGAACGAAACTTTAGCATCCAGAAGACATAAGCCCAGCACTTGCAATACATCCTTCTCTTCAAGGTTGGAAAATAAAAGACTGGGTTCACACAACATTTTAACCCACACTGGAGGACTGAGCATGGATTGCCACTGAATTGTGGGTTGTAGTTAAAACATTGGTTGTGATGTTCTTTGAACCTAGCCACACTAACAAGACTTGTTTTATTAACCACAAACAATCTATGAAAAGAACCCATGGTTTGTTAGTAGGTTGTTTATGGTTAAGAAACCATGGCTTGTTACTGAAGCTGAGTTCAGATAACCCACAGTTCAATGGCAACCCACACTCAACCCATACTCCCTGTGTGAACTCAGTCAAAGACTGTGTGGTGTGGGTCTACACACAATGGCCTCTTCCTGCTATGAACCTTTTCTACCCAGTACCCTCCAGATCTGTTGAACTACCATCTCTATCAACCCCAGCCAACAGAGCATGCTGGGGAAGACTGCTATAGATCCAAGCCAAAGCAGTTTGCTCACTGTGTATATATTGCACATCCAGAGTAGGCTGAAATTAGTTCAAGATATACTGCTGCGGAGCAGACCCTGCCCCCCAGCTTCTTGGCCCAATTAGGCTCATGGGCTACCAAATCCAGCCTGTGAAGCCTGCAAGTTCCCCCAGGAGTGAAGAGTGGCCTCCAAGTCCTACCCCTCAAGAAAATTTTCCTCTTTACTACACCATCCAAGTGGCTTTGCAGGGCATCGAGTGAGCCTTACCGAGTCAACCTAAACAAGACAAGCACAACAACACGTGGATTGGATAAATGCACCCACCGTGGAAACGTGACGATATTACAGGCACGGGAATGCGGACTGGCTTCTCTGGCTGACAACACCGAATCCCCCGTCCCTGGCCTCTGTAGCAAAAAAGGAGGAGTCTGTATGGCTTCTGGAAAATTATAAGCCCATTGCAATCTATGTGCACATTCCTCTTCGAAAGCAATAGTATCTTTTAAAGTAAGAGCAAAGGGCCTTATCATGGATGTCACACTCCTTTGCCCATGCAACTTCAGCCAGTACAGCCACTCATGCAGAGTCCTGGGTGCACGACCTCAGCATCTGGAAAGACTCCCGCCTAAACCTCTAGAGAGCAGCTGCTGCCATCCAGGCCAATGGTGGACCAAGGCTCTGACTCCACAAAAGGCAGCTTCTATAGTCTGTAATTTACAACGGTCCAGTGAAAACTAAATGCTAAATGCTTTTGCATTTAGGAAAATACAAGCACCCAAGGAGGGACATGGTGGGCAAAGGTAGTGACCCTACCAGCATACTTTAGCATAACTTTGCTAGTAACTAGACTCCGGAGAGTTGTTTGGAGATCAGACCAGTCGATCTTAAAGGAAATCAACCCTGACTGCTCTTTAGAAGGCCAGATAGTGAAGATGGAACTCAAATACTTTGGCCACCTAATGAGAAGGAAGGAATCCCTGGAGAAGAGCCTAATGCTGGGAACGATTGAGGGCAAAAGAAGAAGGGGACGGCAGAGGATGAGGTGGCTGGATGGAGTCACTGAGGCAGTTGGTGTGAGCTTGGGTGGCCTCTGGGGGATGGTGGAGGACAGGAAGGCCTGGAGGAAGGTTGTCTGTGGGGTCGTGATGGGTCCGGCACAACATTGCAACTAAGCAACAAACAAAGCTTTTAAGAGGAGGACTTCAACCTTTTAGGTGTCAGGTGTTTGGGGAAAAGCTAACTAGGCTCAGAATGACTGGTGTTTGGGGGAAATGGGGCATGCCCATCTGGCTAAGCAAGGTCAAATATGGCCCTCAGCCCAAAGGCTCAACAGCCCTGAGAGAGGTGTGGATTACTGCCATGAATTAATGAAAAGGTTCTGGAAAATTCAGCTGGCCCAAAATAGGACCCCAAGATGGTTAGCAAGGACTGGCCAACACAATCCTGTTACACTGACTTCCACTCTGTTTCCTGGCCCAATCCAAACCACTGGCATCAAGGTGCTAAACTAGCCCTCTCCAACCTAGTGCCCTGCAGATGTTTTGGACTACAACTCCCAGGATTCCAGATCACAGATATTGCAGGCCAGAGCTGATGGGGGTTGGAAGCTAATGTACTGTTGCCTTAAACAACCTGGGGCCAGTCTACCTGAAGAATCAGGTATGTGAATGGAATGTGCTCCCCAGAGAGGTCCACCTGGCACTGACATTATATGCTTTTCAGCGCCAGGTCAAGATCTTTCCATTCTTCCGTACTTTTAATGTTTAATATTTTAACTATGTTTTATGCTCAGTCGTGGATTAGTTATTATTAGTGTTATGTCCACATACCATTTTTACATTTTAGAGATTTTATTTTTTCCACTGCTGCCCCACTCGCATCATTAATCACTAATTTATTACTAATGTCTAAAATGCTGTTGAGAAATGAATACATTTGCAGTCAAATAGAATGACTGATTAACTGAAGGGATACCTTTAGTTGATTAAGGCAGCGGTCTTATACACTTACCTGGGAGTAAGTTCTGTTATGGGGAATGCTATCTAAGAATTTTTGCTGTTTAAGTATGCATAGGATTGCCCTCTAAGCGTATTTTAATCGTTGCAAATATAGAAAAGAATTGTCTTGACTGCTGTAAGCATATATAGAATGACAACTTTTATAAGCAAGTTCTCCGATTCTTATGGAAAAGAAAGCTAACTAGGCTCAGAAGGAAATTACAGACATACATTTGAAAGGGCTTTCAGAAGGGTTCCACTCCCATCCATGGCCTGAAGGAAGTCTTTGTAGAATTTCATTTTCACCCTGTTGTCTCGGATCACCAGGACGCCAATCCCTTTGAAGGTGAACTCGACGGTCTGCTTGCTGGCGATGGACCGTGAGAAAGAAAGGAGTGTCTCCCGGATGCATCCCTCTACGATTTCCCTGTTGAAGGGGCCCTCCAGGGACAACACAATGAAATTCAGCTGAACAATTGGGATATCACCTACGAAAGGGTGGTGGGGAAAAACATTAGAGGGGGACATGGCCTGCATGAGTAGAAAGACAACGTATTGTGCAAGCTTACTCACATTTTTGTCCAACCTCTACTCCATTATGGCCAAAAGGCATCCTCTAACCTTAAGCATTTGCACAGATCCACATCTTAAGAAAAAGGTCTTTTCTTTTGTGGCACCAGATTGCAAAATGCCTTCCTGAGAAAGGCTCACGCAGCACCTGTGCTGTGGTCTTTAGGGCACCAGGTGAAGTCCTCTTATTTTCTCAGGTTTTTTAGTGTGTTTATTGTATTGTTAAACTTTTACCCTGCTGCTGGTTATGGAACAAGTCCCCCACTGAGGCCTGCCTGGCACCAACTTTATTAACTTTTCAGCACCTCGGCAGAATTTAATTATTCACCAGGGCCTACTGGTTGTTAGACAGGGTTTAATAGGATCTTCTTGACTTAGTATAACTTTTTTCTATTTTAAATTTGGTTTACTTTTTTTGTTAACTTTTATGATGCTTCAATATGTTTTAGCCTGGAGGAATGTTGTCCATGGGGTCGTGATGGGTCAGGCACGACTTTGTGATGGAAAAGAACAGAGTATGTTTTAATGGTATACTTTGCCTTGTTTTTTAAACATGCTGTAGTCAACCACCCTCAGAACTTTTGTCTGTTGGGTGGCATAGAAATTAACAGTAACAGGAACAATAAGGGCTTCACCCTAACCCTGTGGTTTTGAATGAATGTTACAAATACAAATGCCGAGTCAAATGCTGGATCACCGAGATGTCAAGGCATGATTTTGTAAAAAATAAATAATGAAGGTGTCTGTGGCCATAAAATACATTGTAATTAAATAAAGTAAGTAAGGGGCTGTATCAGTCCTTGATTTTGCCCATCCTCCCACACATCAGGCAGGCTGTCCTTTGCAAATCATCATTTGTTAAGGAACACCTGCATTATCTATGCTCATCCTTCACTTTAACCTCCCCAAATGCAAAACACTTTTTTAAAACTCTGCAAAACCATTTAGGACATGATGCCTGTATGTCTACGTGCTGTTGCTGCAATGGACGCAAGCCAATTGGTGCATCTACCAGACCACTTTTGCTCAGATATATCATGAAAATGCTGTTATTTTTCAGGGCTGGTCACAGCACAGAAAAAAACACCCATGGATCTTTTGAGAGCAGTGGCTCTGCCAGTCCCTCTTAAAGCATTAGACCAATCCTTGCCTTCAACGTTACGTTATCCGGCCAGATACCTATCTAAGGCCTGCAACACTGCTGCCAGTTCAGTGCAGCAGAACTAGCCTAGACTGACCAGTGGAAAGATTCCTAGGCCCTCATGCCAATCACCCACCCTTCTTCCCTCATTTCCACCCTCCCGCCAATCCCATAGCTTTGCCGCCATCTGCAGAATTGCTCCATCATAGCTCCGTTGTTCCCTTTTAAATAGAACATCATTTTCAGATTGAACTTGTTGTTTGGGGGCTTACTTGTTTGGAGGCGTAATGGAATGCAATAGTATGAATACTATGTGATTCTCTGCACACAGGGAAGTCTGTTGTGTGCATGAATGTACGGGAAAGCTTCACGCTGCAACTCGGTTTCTTACCCGGAGTGTGTATTTTATTAAACTTCAGCCCATGAATTTGTGCCAATTTCTCAGAGAGAAGAAACACAGGTCGCTGGAGGAGGATGTACTTGTTATGGCCAACTTCAAGCTTCTGTCTTAAGAAGGAGAAGGTTCCCAGTCCTGGTATTGAAACACCCTAAAAGGGAATATTGGCAAGAGCCTGACGCAGTGCAATGGTTACGGTCCTGAACTACAAGCAGGGTAGACACCAACTCACTAGGTAAGGGACTAATGCTGCACACATTTCTAATATAAGGATAAGAGCAGCGATCTACGAGGGGTCTTCAAAAAGTTCCCATACTTTTAAAACTCTATTTAGTAAGAATTGCAAAAGCAAATTACATCACTTTTCTCCAGGGCAACCAAGATATAGGGTGGATGCCAGGAAGTATTTCCTGATGGTTAGGACCCCGAGGGTATGGAATGGGCTTCCATGGGAGCTGGTTGAGGCCCCATAGGTGAGAGTGTTCAAGGATAGGCTGGACATGCACATGGTGGGCATGTCATGACCCCTCGCAGCTGGCTGGAGCCGGGGGTCAGACTAGATGGCCCAGGAAACTCCTTCTGACTCGCTCTGTTACTCTGTTTCTACATAGTCACCTTACTTTGTGATGCATTTTTCCCAGCATCACGTCAACTTTTTAATGCCATCAGCAAAAAATGTATACAACATATTTATAAAAGTGCAGAAACTTTTTGAAGACCCCTTGTACAAATGGATGCTTTTAAAGATTATCAAAAAGATCTTGGGTGGAAAGTGAGAGCTGAGCTGAAGGCCCTACTCGATCCAGGTTTCTCTCCCTGGGGAACTGCTGCCTGCTCCCTGTGAAGGGCCAGCCCTACCCTTAGGCAGAGTGAGGACAGCAGATGCTGGGAGGCAGCCTTGCTTACTTCCCCATGAACTCTCTGGCTGTTCCACTTGCTGAAGGAAAGATCTGGTTATGCCACGAATTGTCTCGGACCCACTAAACCTTCCTGGTGTGGTGGGGGGGCTTTGACGTGCGTTGACGTGAAATTCTATATGCGTGGACTAGGGAGGGGGCTTCCTAGAGGCATATACAGTGGGACCTCGGCTCACAAACGCCTCAGTTCATGACCAAATGGGGTCGCAAACGGGAATTTCAGGAAAAAATTGACTCAGATCGCGAACTCTGCATCGGGTGACGATTGTGATCGAGCCCCCAGTTGAGCCGTCTTCCCTGTGTGATCACGGTCATGCTCGGGGGGTGGGGGGGAGATGGCCACGATCGGGGCTGTGCTCAGGGGCAGAGATGGCTGCAACCGCATTCAGGCACGTGCAGGGAAGATGGGTGCGAGCGTGGTCGTGCTCGAGGGCGGGAGGTGGCCCCGATCTTTGTTGTTCTTTGATACTTTGCTGTGCTTTGTCACTTTTTCAGATTTTTGTGATTTAGAAAATGGTTACCGAACAGATTAACCTTATTTACACTGAACCTTATGGGGAAATTCGACTTGGGTCACAGCCAATTTGGGTCGCAGCCACAGTGGTGGAACGGATTAAGTTCGTGAGCCAAGGTACCACTGTATTTGGGCCACTGCAGGGAACAGAACAATGGACTAGATAAGCCTATCCTGACCCAGCAGGGAGAAGCGCCGTCTGATACATCTCTGAAGGCAGGCAAATCTCTTAAGCCTGCCCCATCAGGGTAATCCTTTGTGTGCGCAACAGGTACGTTTGCAAATAAACCACATGAATGCCAGAAGTCCCCTGCAAACTCTTTTCTTAAAGGAAACCAAACACAGGCAGCGGCACCCATAAATGTTCACCGCACCTGGGATTGAACTGCCCATTCTTTTAAAAGGGAACTTGATGGCTGCATGTACGAAGACATGCAAGCACTGGAGCCATTCACAACAGGCGGATTGGAGCAAAGGAATAAATCAGCGCCTCTCATCTGGTCGCAGCCCAAGGCCACATTCCATTTTGGCAAAGCTGACAGGGGGCAGTGGTAGTGATGGGCAGTGGAGCGGGACAATGGGATGGGCCCAAAAACACCAGCGCATTTTAGTCTAAATATCTTTCCGCTACGGACTAAACCTTTTTATGATCAGGAGGATGATACATGAAAGCTGCCAAAACCAAGAAAATATCAGTATTTGGAAGGAAATGGGGCAGGGGGTGACCCTGCAGATTTCAGGTCCTACAAGCCTGGAGTAAACAAACAAAGCCCCCACCTTATTCATGGACAGTTGCTTTTCAACAAATTCAGAAACGGTGCCCCAAATACTAAGGACCTCTGAAATGTAAAGAAATGTTTATCATAAAACTGTGTATTGGTCCTGTAAAAAGAAGAGAAGCCATTGTCTGAGCACTTCATAGACATATAGAAATATAATAATAATAATAATAATAATAATAATAATAATAATAATATACCCCTCACCCCATATCCCAGTGCCCCCAATATTTGGTACGGGATCAACATTTGGGGCCAGTGGTAAAGTTACCTTAATGTCACTTTTGAATTTAAGTCCTGGACTCAAAGGTTTGTCCTACAGTTAATTTGTCTGGTGCTTCAAAGGATTTTTATCCTTACTGAGATTTCCCAGATAAATACCTTATAGAGAATTGAGATCGGTGCAAAGCAGTGCAGATCAGGAAGTGACAGGCAAGTAAGAGAAACTTTGCAAAGTTTATTTTGTAACTTGCTTTGAAGACTCCCCCCCCCCCCGCCCCCGACTTTAGTCTTTGTGGTGTCCATTCGTGTGTGTGTGTGTGTGTGTGTGTGCGCGCGCGCGCGCGCGCGCGCACTATGCAGGGGAAATTGAAGGGGGGAAGCAGGTGGGTCAGAAGATTTATCACACGCATAGACCCTGATGCTGACCAAATACTGTACCAACACCGGCACCAAAGTAAGTAAGTAAGTAAATAAATGCTGCAGTCAACTCCAGGCTATGCATTTGATGAGCCATGCAGGTTAGCTCCAAGCTAGTGGCCATGGTTGCTATTTATTTATTATTATTTTATTTATTAAAACATTTTTATGCCGCCCCATTCGCCGAAGCGATTGGGAATTCCAAGGGGGTAGGGAGGTGGGAAGAGTTGACTTACTGGTCTACTTAAATGAAGGCTAGGCATAAAATGGTGACTCCAATAGATGGACATACATGCATAATTCAGGGTAGCTCTTGAGGCACAGAGGCTCAGGGATTTGTGAAGAGAAGAGATGCACTAGAACTCAGCCAGTGACCTACCGAGACCAACACGACTCCTGTGCAAAGCGTGTTCGAGTGTGAAGATGTTCCCTATTCATGACATCCAACATATGACATTCCCCATCTTTATGTCCACCAGGCATGTTGGACCACAACTCCCATGGACCATGATGGGTGTTGTAGTCCAACACACCTGAAGGATGCCAGAGGTTGGGGAGGGCGTTCTGTTTCGTCTTTCCTGGATCAACAGTCAACTGATGTCCTTGATCCAGTTTGATTAATACAGGGCAGGAGGAGAGGTTTCAAAAAGCAAGGTATTCTACCAAAAAGAAAACAAAAAACGCTGGGCACATCGTGCTCTATTAATTAGAAAACAATGCTTTGTATTGGATTAATGTCGTGGTTGATCCAAAAAAGTGAGATTTTTAACAATGTAATTATGAAAAGAGAAAAAAATGCTTACCCTCCGAAGTGAGCTTGGGCAATGTCAGGAACACGTTCCTGCCCCCCTCGAGGAAGGCGGTGTGGATGGTCTCCAACATTTTCGCACGGATGATGTCTCCCGCCCCTGCAAGTCGAAAGCCAGATAGACTGGGCTGGCCTTTGGAGGTTTGGCGCCCAAGAAAGCCACTGTCGCATACCCTGGCTCAACGCCTCTTTTTGCTTACTGGACTTTAAAGCACAACCTTAGAAAGCTTGTCCCCATTTCCTTCTCTCCCTGCTTTTCGTTCTCCGCATTAATGCGAAAAAAGAAAAGAAGGGGGAACACGTGTCCTTACAAGAGAGAGACGTGAGGAAGAGAGCAGGTCTGAGCGAAAGCGGAGCCTCCCCAGCGCCAGGGAGGGGCGTGGCTATGGGTGGAAGGGGCGGGGCCGTCGCTAGGACGCGAGCCTCCCTGTTGCTAGGGGTGACGTCACAAAGAGGCTCGTTCGCACTCCGTCTCGCTCGGGAAAGCAGGAGGCTGATGGACAGGAGAGGCAGCAAATGAGAGTCTGGGGCAGAGCGCTTGCGGATCCTCGCCGCCAATGGCATGCCGGGTGGGGTGCTGAGACAAGCAGCTGAGAGTTTCGGTTGCTGTAGGCGGGAGTCGTCGACAGGCGCGGGCGCAGCTCGGGGGGATGGCTGTAGCGCAGCGCGATCCTCTAGGTATGCCTACTCCGAAGTATGACCAATTACGCGCAACGCACAGGGCTGGTTGCAGGTGTCTGGAGACCCTCCCGGGCAAGGCCGCCTAGGAGTGCCCTGCCTTCGTTCGCCTACCATGTGGCCACCGGCTGCCCATGGGCGCCGCATCGTGGCTCCCACCCGCTGGCTCGAGAGGCCAAGAGCCGGTGGCATCTCCTGCGCCTCCTGGCCTCCCCCACGGCCCTGGCCAGAGCAGAGGCACGGGCAGCAGGCCATGGGGGAGCGGTGCGGCCAGCCCGGGAGGCTGCCAGTGGGTAGGCCCCTGCTGCAAGAGATGCCCGACCTTACCCATCCTCGACACTGGCTCTAACTTTGTATAGGACTGTCTGCTGAAATGGCCCGCTTCCGTGAATGCTTATGCAAAAACCAGTGGCTTAGTCTTTACAGTGGCACAAGAGTTTGCTGTTTTCTACCTAGAAATAAGGCTGCCGGGCTGATTTACTTTTGAGTAGACATGTAGGTTTAGGCATGTCAGGTACTTCCCCCCGCCTTGTGGAACTCCTCTTTTGTAGACTAGAAGCCAACTGGATCCAGGTACCTCTCAGCTTGCCAGCAGAAAGAGCACTTGATGTTTCCAAGACACAGCCACTAGTTCAAAGTTTATGGCACAATAAATCTGCTGAGTATAACGTTGCCACAAGACTTTCTGTAAAGGGAAGTGAAGAATATACAAAGTTCCTGATGACCAAACCTCTGGGGTTCTATCAGAGATTCACAAGACGGTCATAAATGTAAAATAAACCTCTATCAAGGAGGTCAGAATGTGTAAAGATAAGCCTGGAGGCAAATGTTTTCACTCCAGGTGTATGTCAAGATAACCATGTACAAAAGTACCAGAATGTTTTCTGATGTGATGTTTGCATTGCAAAGAGCTAAAGTTATACATTCACTGCATATTACGACTGTAGCAGCTGGTCCCAACAGGAGATGGGCTCACTCTCTATTGTTAGTGTGCACCTACAATAAAGTCTTTGTTATATAAAATTACTTGCTGATGTTGCCAGTCTCCCTCACACAGACAAGGATTTTTTTTCCTTAACAAAAGGATGAATACACATGCAATCAAATTACCTATTGTGACATTTATGAATGTACTGACTTTTTAGTTTGCTATGGGCACAATCCTCTGCAAATGTAGACAGAAAGGGGGGTATGGTGGGAGTTACAGCTTTTTTTTTGTACATTTGCTGAGGATTGTGGCCTAAACTTTTATTGGCAAACGAAATGATAGTTAATGGAATCATGGCATTCATCCATCAATGGAAGGACAAACAAAGCTGTTCAGGAGACAGCCATGTATTCACTTATCAAAATCATTTAGGGGACTTGCAAGGAGAAAAGACTAGAAAATAAATTTTCAAGAAAAAAAAGACTCCTTGGAAAATTGGTACTCCTTTCCCACATATCAGAATGCAACAAAACTTTAGGAAAATGTGACAACAGTTGTACAGACTGAAGCAGTCTTTCAGATTTGTTGGAAAACAACTCCAACATCCCCCAGCCAAGAGGCATAGTAGTCGTAAGTTCAGTTGAATCTGTAGTGGTAAATCTGCAACACATTTCTGCAATCTTATTTAAACGGAATGACCAGTGGGAGACCCCTTTATTGCCAGGCAATCCTTGAAAACAGGTCCTCCATAAATGTTCAGTAGTAGCTATCTGGCTGCCTCCTAGAATGGTTTCTCAGGCAGGAAGTTAGAATGAATTTGAGAGATGAGAAGCCTCTGTATCTGTGATCCCGAGCATGCAAATGCATATATGCTGTACACACGGTTCCACACAAGTACATGCACAGCTGAGGCACATGATGCACCAAATGCATACATGGTGATTTACAGGTTACCTTTGAAACTCAGTGGGCATGTGAAACCTAAGCCAAGTTAATCACAGATACCATGTCAGAAAAACCTGGCTATTAATGGCATACTTGAAAGAAGTACAGGCTTAACTGCAATTTGGTCTGAGTGTATCAAACCGAAAAGCACTACAGAAGAATCAGATTAAGTTTTCACTTGTTGACACAACTGAAATAGTTTTCTATGCTTTTCATTAGAACAAAAATCAATGACTACCTTTTTAGGACTTTAATTTGAAACAAAGTCACAAAAATATTACAAAAGCTGTTTTTCCCCCTTTCCACTCAAACTTCAAATCAACCAACGAATCCAGATTTTCTTTAGTAGGCTCAGTTTTCTGCGTTTTTAAAGATGTAACTCTGTTGCTGAAGCACCTTTCAAAGCATTTGAGTCAAGATTATGTTTTCCAAAAGAAAGGGTTCTGAGCTAGTCGTCTTTGGAAATTCTCGTACCTGGAAGAAAAAGGAAAAGAAACTGTTTACCTTACTGCCATTGTGCTGAGCTTTATAAGGAATCACAGACTGCTGACCTACTTCATGGTAAGACCCACATACCTACAGACAGCTCAATTTTTAGTTGATTAAATGGTTACTCTATAGCTGTAGGGCCCAATATTTAGTTGCTTAATTGGATTAACCGGTTTTTAAAATTTCGGATGAAGTAAACAGTGTCACATTTTATATATTTACATTATTTTTAATGTGGGTATTTAAAATACTTGCCATTTGCAGGTTTTATCTTTTGAAGCAATCCTTCCCATGTGTGTGAAAAAGGAACACCTTTCAAATTCTTTTGTGTGGACTTAAAGGGTATCTTGCAAATACAGAATCATAGAATAGTAGAGTTGGAAGGGGCCTATAAAGCTTTTGAGATTGATAGGTCTATTAAATATGTTTAATTTTAGAAAGTTTAGATTTACAGAACGTATCAACTGGATGCACTATTGGCAATTATCCATATTAACTAAATTTAGGATCAAAATACAACAAAAGATAAACACTTGTGCAAGCTTTGTGTCTGCTCACCTGGAAGCAAGTGAGATTTGCCCTAGGTAACTAGGCAAGCAGCCAGGTACAAGGAAAATCGAAAGAGATGATGCAGTCTTATTCAGATACTGAGCATATTCAACCATTGCTACTCTGATGAGTCAATTCTTAAAGTTAGGTGCCTGTTCCAGGACTACTGCTGCTGCTGCTACAATTCAGTGTTGAAGACACATTTCTGCCCACTCCGACCAACTCTCACTTACCATTTTAGAACTACACTTGCAGGAATGAAAGCTTCAGATGGATTTGGTGTCATTTGGGCCTGCGTGACAGCGAAGGATGAAGCGAAGTTATAAAAATTGTCCAACATCTTCTGAGTGAACTGAAATATAAAAAGGGAGGGGGGAGCATGTACATAATCATTTTTACCAGCTCTTCTCAACACTGATTAACACATGCTCAAATGTACTTTTGGAGGAGGTCTTTTTAGTGATATGCTCTCAATAAAAGCATGCTCATTTAAAGCATGAAGACTCAGGGTTGTATCCACAAGACAGCTCACACAGTGTTTCTCTTCTTGCTACAGCCCCTTGTGCCCTCAGAAACCTCTCTGGAACACTTAAACAGAACGCTTAAACAATGGGGCTTTGTCTTAAGGAGCTCCAGCATGAGGAAGGAAATCACCCAAACCCAAGCAGCGGAATCGTTCCCCAGCAGATCTCCTCTGGGTGCAACATCCCTCTGCAAACATCCAATTTCAGGCAATACTCTCCCACATTGGAGCCCCAGAGGACACAGCACCCACCATTCAGGAACGGTGACCTAACTATCTGGATATCTTTTTTTGGAGGCTACAGGAAGAGAAGAGGAAACAGTGTTCTATGAGCCGGTGTCTGCTCACATAGCCATTGGATACGGCTTTCGGAAAACTAGAGCAGTTATAAGTAACTGCTTTCTACGGAGAAGTGATGTGCTTGGTTGATCCATCAACCCTGCTGCATCAAGGCTAGCTTCAACAAAAATTTCAGGACAGCAGGAGTCCCTTTCCTCCCCAGTCAGTTTTGGGAAAACAGTTATAAACAGTTATAAAACCGGGCAAGAAAAACTGAGAAAATCCTCCAAACCAAAGGAGAGTGCTTTTTGAGCTAGGAAGTCACCCTTCCCAAAGCGAGGCTTTAAGGTATATTTTATTGTTGCAAGTTATTTCCATGTATGGAAATCACTTAGAGTAACATTAACCTGGAATAACTCAAGGGGAGAGAGATGATAAGGACAAGGCCCAGTTCCAAATGTCTCCAGGCAATTGTCAGTTTATACACATAGTTGCCAAGCAGAATCCCATGGTGTTCTTGTAAACCACCATCTGTTCCCAAAGTGATGAAAGAGAAGATGAGATTATATATTCATTTAGAGGAGGTTTCACAATGGCAAGAGACTAAGAGTACCTCTGGAATCAGTTAATAATGGAAAAGCTCACTCATCAAATTAAGGGTCAGACCAAGCCAGAAAGGTTTATGCTACTTAGTATTCTTTCCTAGATGTATCCTGATTCATGCTCCACTTGATAAAAATAAAACTGTACTGACTTGTTAACACGTCTTTAAATTTCCTGTCATTTTAATGGTATATCAGTGTTCAAGTATCTGCAACAAATCCTTTTATGAGTAGTAAATGTTATGTTATTTTATGGTATTATCATATTGTTTTAAACAGGAAGAGCTGCTGTTATTTTTAGTCTAAGTAAACAGATGCATGTGGTAAAAAAGAAATATTTAACTATTCAAGTTTCAGCTGCCAAATATACATGGTGCATCTGCATTGTCCTGAATTCTATAGTGGTTGAATGGAAAGAAATATTCCCATCTCTTCTTCTCCACTGCAGCTGCCAGAAACCACTGAAATGCCTCATTAGATGGTTTAGGATGTTCCTGAACAATTTGGGAAGGGTGGCTCCTGGGGAAGATCAGAATCTCCATATGAGGAGATTTCCCCTTCTCTAGAATCTCCCGTGCCTATCCCACATTAGGCAAACACCCAAATTTCCACTGAAGAGGCTTTTTAATAAGCTAAGGCAACTGTAGCAGGTATGATAGCGAAAGAAACATTATTTTTGGTGAACATGTTTTCTTATTTTAGGAATCTAAGCTAATAGCAACGAAGGGTGGCTAGAAACCTTTAAAAATAAGCTGATCACTCATAAGTAGATGGGTAGATTCAGGATTCTTGATCTTGTTGTCTTTAGGGAACCTTTTCCATGCCCGTCAAGAACCCCAGTGCACTGCAGGGGATTTGGAGAAGTGTTTTAGCAAGTGGCCTCAGTTCCTATTACGTTTTGCTGTTACTCTGTGTAAACTGAGACTATGCTCTAGCTTAAAGTATATCTAACTTTCCCTTAAAGCTCGATGTTACAAGGCGAAAATTGGCAGACACGAGCAAGCTGTTTTTCCAGGGATCTTATTCACTACCGTTGACCAAAGAACCCCCAAAGTGTTCAGGTAAAAATCTGGCAAGCAGTGAATGGCAATTCTGCTAATATACCAGTTGTCCTCGCTGTATCACATCTAATATACTCCAATGCTCATGAACCTAGATTGGTGTACCAGTAACTACTGGAATCAAAATGGGTTCCGATTACCTCTGTGAATGAATTAACTGATGATACAGCGGCACTTGCTACAGGAGTTTCCTGAGCCAAGACTTCCAACAGCTCCACAGAAACCCCAATCTGGGCAACAGATGGCATTTGGGGAATATTCATGGCTCCAAATGGATGTTGGCTGCCTTTGCCTAGAAGAGACATCACAGGTGGCCTGATGCATCAGCCCTGTTCTCAACACGCACACCATTCTGAACACACCCCAGATTCATGCAAGTCTTTGTGAAATAAGCCACAGCTACCCTGTTACCATTAGGAAACAGAACACAGTCCTGCGTCAACAAAAGTGACATTTTAAAAGCAAGATGTTTCAACAGTCCAGCAGTATGTGAGGGATGTAGTAGAAGGAACAAATTATATTTATGAGTAGTATAAGTTATATTTATTTATAATAGTTATTATAAACATTATAGTTTATAATTTATAATAGTTATAAATTAACTACTTTAATAAGTTATATGTCTGAATGCAAGAAGATAGAGGACTTGCTTCTGACCTTTTGGTGGAAATATGAATTGTTCCTAAGGATAGCATGTTTGCCAGGATAGGCCAGAATTACACATGATACAGCAGTCTCTTTCTCCCTACCTCCACATTACATGTGATGCTACAGAACACATGGCTTATTATATTTTAAAGCTCCCCACATCACTTCCTCAAGCTGCCACTTGTAGAAGCAGATACTTGATGACATCACATGAAGTGTGATGACATCAGCATTTTTGTAGCTTTATACATTACAGGTGCAAGAAGGGCTTGGAGATGTGGGGCAGCTGCTTTTGCTTTGGCAACTGTCATTTAGTTCCAGCCTCAAAGCAGTACATGGTTCATTAACACTATGTGAAAAGGTAACAGATTGATCAACATGATAAGAATAGAATACATAATTTTATCCCCATATTTCCAGCACTAAAGGCAACATACAAAGAGAAATAAGTACATATGCATAAAGAACAGCACTGTGGAGATGTGCAGGCCTCCACAGTCAAAATAAAAACAGGATGTATTTGAATTGAGACAACTTCACTGTGTCTACCATTGACTCAGCTCCACAGGAGTTAAAACACAAATGAAAGTTTTAAATTTCCTTCCCTCTAGTTAGAATTCTACCTTATGCGCCCCAGCTGTGGTCTCCTAAGTTTAATCCAAGAAACCGACAAGAAACCTAAGGCCTCTTTTACTGAGAGGCAAGGTTAAAGAGCCTTACCCTTGTTCCTGCCTCAGAGTAAAGCATCAGGGACAAGGGCAATGCTGTGACCATGTAGGGATGACTCTGGAAGTTGCAAATCACCACAGCAGGGATGGGCAAGCAGTGGCTCACTGGAAGTCACTGGACTACAGCACCATCTCCCTGATCACTTGGCCATGATGGCTAGGGCTGGTACAAGCTAGGGCCCCAGAACAGCTGGAGGGACCACAGGATCCCCAACCGTGCCCTAGAGTAATCCCTCCCAAAGACCTAATTGTTGCATTCGCTTAGCTTACCAGATTTTAGGCCAGAAATTTTGAAGATGGCACTTGGTTTTTCATTTGTCACAAAACCTAGGAGCTGCCACACTGCCACCCCATTTTCATCAGGATAGCAGAAGTAGACAGATCCACCCATACCCTCTGGAAAGGGTATGGTCCCCAGCATAAAAACCACCACATGGTTGATGCTTTCATAGTCCGGCAAGTCAAACACAAACTTGTCTTCTGCCACCTGCTGTGCAACTGTCTGTACCTACAAAATAAATGCAGGATATGAAGTATAGATATGTGCTGCCAACATGTCCCCCATCACAGCACCAGTTGTAGCATAATGAAAACTAATTTAGAAAGGAAGAAATTTACTTACAGATGCTCAGAAAAGCAAACACAGGTTTAGTGACACTGTGCAAAAACATACTATTGACATACCCTTGTTCAAATCAGGTTGGAGCTTCACTACACTCAGCGCTGCAGCAGCAAAGTGCTTTAACCCCTTCAGGCTCTCAGCTGTCTAAACATATTGCAGGAGAGACCACAGAAAATGTGACTGTTGACCACATCTGATGCTGCTCTGAGCAGCTGAAGTTGCTTACATCTGAAATAACACAAGCTTTACTCTCTACCTGTCAGTTTAGCAGATCTTGATGCCAGGACTCAGAGAATATAAAAATCTGCTGCCTAATTAATTAGGGCTATCTGTTTTCCACTTAATAAGAACATCTGAAATCAATATTGTTGATAAGGCATGGGGGTTGATTTTATGTAATTAGTTTCATAGTGGCTCATACTGCTGTCTCTTTCCAAGCTTTTAAAGGAGGAGTGAGAGTTGCTAATATTGTTGCAGTCATACTTAACAAGTCACAACATGAGAGATGCACATTATGGCTTTTTGCATGACCCAACCCTACCTTTTAAATACATAGATGTTAACCAATTTAGATATGCAAGATGTAAGCAGTCTATTTTTCAGGGAGGCAACAACAATGCCCCAGGAGGTTGAGGTTGAGGTTGGGAATAGCACGAAGTGTTAAAATATATGACAAACTCCACTGAAAATGGAATGAAATGAAAGAACATGAAGTCCACATTTGGAATGACAACTAAGTGTTATGAAAATTAAATAACTGTTAGACTCTATTCACAGATGGCCTGGGTGTGCAGAAAATATCAGTGGCACAGTGTGAATTTTGGACTCACAGGATCTGCTCTATTGTAAATATAAATTGTGATGTGTACCAGGATCTCTACATGTGATACTTAGATGAATAACACTGGCCTTGTACCTTTCTTCTCCAAGAAAAAGGACTGGATGGGTGTTCTGAGTTTGGCTTTCTTATTGGCATGTATGTGCAAAGCTCCAGTTTATATTAAAGATAGATTCTGTAACTCCACAGGAACTACAGAAAACCAAGACAAAAAGCACAGGAGTAAAGCAACCTGGTGCCCTTCACATGCACCAGTCTCAAACTCCCATCTTCTCAGGCTTTCTGGAGTCTATGGGAGTTGTAGTCCTGAAATATCTGAAGGGCATCAACTTGCCTATCCTTGGATTATATGTTGAAATATAGAAATTAGCAAAGGGACTGTAGCTTATGACAGAGCACCTGCTCTGCATGTAGAAGCCCTTGGTTTCAATTCCTGGCATCTCCAGTAAAGGCTGGAAGAACTTCTGCCTGAAACCCTAAAGGCCGCTGCAGCTGGCCAATGCCAACAATTCTGAGCTCCATCGACCCTCCCTCAGTCTAAGGCTGCTTCCTCTGCTCCTAAATTCAGCCAGTGTTGGCCTTTCCTCATCAGGAGCTGGCAGTAATGGGGAAGGGGCTCCACTTGCGGTACACAACTTTTTCTTGTGGGCAGGTAGCGATCGAGTGCAACACGCAGGGTGCATCCAAGGCACGTTTAGACAGAAAAAAACTCCAGGGAGTGGTAGGACCTTTCTTCTGCCTAAACGTGCCTAGGATTGCGCCTGAAATGCCGCAATTTTTCCCTCCCGCACCCTCTTCTGTGCTTAGCGAACGGGGCTTACGCGCCAATATTCAGATGTTGTGCAAATGCGAAATATCCCAGTCACAGCGAACTTTTGCACCCCACATGCCTCCCCACTCTCGAAAGGAACCGTGGAACCCCCCCCCCAGGAGTGCCCCCAGGCCCCCGATTACCATGGAAACCAACCCCCTTCCAAGCCACCCCTGCGCATCCTTCTCCGTAGAAACCCCAAGGGCCCAGCCTCTCGTTTCCATGGCGACCCTCCCGTTTCCACAGAGACCAGGGCCCAGGGCCCCGCCCACTCCGTCCTTCGCGGCCAACCGTGGGCGCCACTCACCAGCCTGCCGGCAACCAAGCAGCCAAACATGGCGGCGGTGGCGACACCCCGGGCACGGCTCCTCCGTGGTAGGCCTCGCTAGAAAGAGGCCGCGCGCCCAGGCGAGCGCCCCACTGCCTCTCCGCGACGCCCCCTGCCCTCCCTAAGAAGCACATCCGGGGCGGCCGGAAGAAGGAGCTTCTGAGAACGAGAGGAAGGCATTCTCACGGAGTTTTCTCCTAGCCGACAGGGAAAAGTCCAGAAAGTGGGGTGGGGGGGGAGAACTACATGTCCCAGCATTCAGCGTGCGACAGCCCAGGTTCGCTAGTAAAGGAATCAAGCGCCTTTATTCCCGAACAGGCTCTTGGGAAATGTTGTTTTTGCCTCTGAACCAGGGCGGGCAGAGCTTTAGTGACGTGTGTGGGCATATAGAGATATGAAAGTGAAGAGGCATGGTTTTATAACTTCCGATCTAAAATTGAACTGAGTTTCGCTTTAATTTCCAATATGAAGTATAGATTCACTCACTCCAAAAGTCAGAGGCACAATGAATAGTGCGTCATTCTAATTTCCTCCTTTCCTCTGTGGGCAAAACCCTGCGGCAGTAGTTGCTGGGTGGCATAAACTTCATGATGGCCGGGAAGATGGGATTTGTATTGTTGCACCTAGTTCTGTTGATACGTGCAGCCTTGCAGGTTTCACAGGCCTCTTCAGGCACAACAAAACCCATTAATGCAGTGCTCTTGAGCATGGCTTTTCTGCCCAGTCCGGATTTCTCCAATGGGGTTAAAGTGCTTTGAGGCTGAAGGTCAGTTTCTGCTTCAGAGAAGCTTTCATGGCTTGAGTTATAGTGGACAGTGGTGAAGGCCAAGGGGTTGGGCCAAAATACTAGGATATTTTAGCTTAAAGCCCTTAGTGCCAGTTAACTGGGCTTTAAGAAAGGCATTTCAGCCCTTTAGAGCCAGGTGAAATTCTGCACAGAATCCAGGAAACCATCATTGGTCAAGGGCATTAGGCGAAGGAAGCACAGTTATCTGGGAAACCCAAGAGGATCAGTTTGGGCCTCGGAAGGGCTGTTTTTGCCCCTAAATCATTAGGGTTTGCCACCCTGGGGACTATTGGGCTCTCAGGGCACTGAGTGTGAGGAACAGAGATCCCTAACTACTGCATTCTGTACCACCTGCAACATGCAAGTTATACTAAAGTGATCCCATGTATAATACTGAGATCACGTGGGCCTCCAGTGACAAAATCAGGCCCAGGAGATGCTCTGGACTTAGAGACCTGTAACTTCAGAGAGAGTGCAGTGCCATTCAGGTTGGGCAAATTTACCTTTCTGAATCTGGGAACTGCAGACCCGCAGGGATCAGAACTCGGTTTCAGGGCCATCATCCAGCACATGACTGAATCTGTGTGCTAGTTCAAAATGTGCACAGCCTCTCCTGATGTAGGCTTTACCAAGGAATGGCGCTGGTGTCGTTGGCCCACTGATGTCACCTGGCTGCAAAGGTCCTAATGACTGCTCCCGGCGGCTTCCCAAACAACTCTGAGAAGGAAATACTGCCCTGTGGTACCTCACAGTTCAACATGTAAAGAAATTGTATGTTACAGTTACATGCTTAAAAAGGAAAGAAAAAATTAGGAATTGGCATTAGGTATAGAGATTAGGTATGGTAGGCATATCGTGAGTGGAGCCAGCTGGAGCCGGGGGTCAGACTAGATGGCCCGGGAGGCTGCTTCGGACTTTCTGCGTTTCTATAATCACCACCAGATGCAGTGCCGTAACACTCAGCAACTACTACTGAAGATTGCACAAGGTCTGTTCATTTATAAAGCACCTACAATATACTAGTTGCTGAACACAGACTAAAAACATGGCAGTCCATGCTTGCAGGGTTCCAGTTTAAACGAAGCAGGGCATGAAGTAAAAGGGGCGACAGAGCAAGTGGTCAACAAGAACACCCATTCTTGGCATTACATGGTAGATCAATGACTAACATAAATGGTCATAGAGCAGGGGAGCAGAACCAAATGGCGGTGATATACTGAATAAAATATTGCCTGTGAATTTATACACTGCACAGTCGCCCATGTGGTGCTGGTACACAGGACTAGAGAACACAATGCTAACGGATGACCTTCAAACAAATCTAATAGGCTATATGAAACACAACATATGACCGGAGCCAAATCAAGTACACCAGACTGTTTTCTGCCTGCCATGTTTTTGACCAGCTGCTTTTGCAGTCTTAGGAAAGCAAAAAAATGGACAGCTGGCCACGACACCTGGGCAGGCTTGCTCTAGTTTACGGAGCCCGGAGGCTTGCTTAGCCTAACTGAATCAAACTACAACTTCCATTGTCCTTGACTGCTACTGCTTTTGATGGCTGGGAATGGTGGGAGTAGTAGTCTTAACACATCTGGAGAGCACTAGGCTGAGGGTGATGTATCCTCAGACAATAAAGTGGTCTGTGCTTGGGAGGCCTTGTGGAGCATCCTCAACAAATGCTCCAAAGATAAAACTGGAAGAATAAATAGCAGGTTCCACTATAGCTTTCAGCTTGCCCAAGCCTTCCAGATTTTGCCCTGACAACCGCCATGTTTATATATCTCATTTACACATCTACAGTAAGGCTAAACCCGTTGTTAAAGACTACAAAACCCATCTGTTTTACCTTCTTTGGGGGACAGGAGGATGAGGGGGCAGGGCAGTGGGGGCAACGAATTGAGGTTCTTCCTGCCCTTCCGAAATGTTAGGCCCTGGATGAAGTTTCATTTCAGAAGAAATTTGGGACCAGTTGAACTTTGTTTTCTACTTATCTGCCTTTGCTCTGGTTAGACTTGTTATTTTTAGTTATAATTTGTTTTTAACGCTTGATACTGGTGTGATTGTATGCCAAGTTATGGATCGAAATAGGTCCAAATGCTAGATGAAAATGTGCTAAATACATTATTTAAATACCAAGATGTCCTACACCAAGACAACTGCTCATTTCACCAACAGGCAAACCAGCAGCTTCTTTCATGTTACTTTGCAATACTCGTTCTGACTACAGAGGTTTTACATCAGACTGCAAATAATGTAAACTACTGTAGCTCTTTGAAGTAGTGATGGGTAAAAAAATTGGCTAAACCAATATTTTCTTTGAATTGGCTATGCATGTTAAAAATTAAAATTTGTTTGTTTGTTTAAAACTTTTGTATACCATCCGCTACCAAATAGTCTTGGGACTACCTCGTATTCCGCAGCCAGAAGGCTGAAAACTGGAACCTGAATTATGCAAGTTTTATGAATAACTTCATCTTGCATTCTGCTTTTGCTAAGAAAAGGCAAAGAAGTATGCATGGAAAAGAAATTGTATCTTAGCTATTGTAAAGGTTGTCCATTCACCCGGTCTGAGTGTTCATGTGGGCACTGCCACACAGCTTTCAAGCATGTTTTCACAGCCACAGTGACTAGGCACTTTCACATCAAAGTCGAATTCTCGGAGAGTCGACTTTCATCCAGTGATACTCTTTTTCTGCATCCAACCAAACCAGTGTGTATGTGCACACACACACTCAAGAGAACTTTATAGGCAGTTTTAATCTATATGACATGCTTTAGAATACAAAGCTACTACAAGTACATATACACAGTAAGGAGCAACTTTACAGATTGGCAAATACTGGATTAAGCTGGACAATAAACCAAATTTACAAAAATATTTTTATTAAACAGTACAGTTTCCAAACAGGACAATGTCACCAAACCAAAATGTAAACAAGGCTGATCACAGGAGCGGGGCAGACTACTCTGAAAGCAGTTACAGGACTAGCAGGTTAGCTAATTTTCTTGACACAAAAAGCAGTAGCATAATTCTCCGCTAGAAATAACTTATCGGAGCCTATCCCAGCGCCAGATACTGGCGTCGTCACAGACAGCTATGAGGATGCTACTGTCCCTGCTAAAGCTGGTCTGTCGAATAGCAGCAGTGCACTTCGGATGTGTCAGGGTTGTACACCTATCAAAATAAAGCAAATGTTACAATCTTCTTTTTCTCTTCATCCGCCCTCAATTATATGGCACTGCTACTACAGCAAGGGTGGGCAACATCAAAGCAAGTCCAGAGGTTCCTCTTCCCCCACCCTTCCTTTCAAGCACCCCTGCTTTAAATCAGTTCTCCTCTTTACCTCCCAAACTGTATTAGCTGCACCACTTCGGATGAAGGCAGAGCTTCTTTTTATGTGTTATACTTATATCCCATCTTTAGTCTTAAAAAGAAACCCAAAGCAGCTTACATAATCCTCTCAGTTTTTAATTCACAACAACCCTGTGAGAGAGATTAGACTGAAAATGAGTGACTGGCCCAAAGTCACCCAGTCAACTTCATGAACTCAGGTCTTCCAAGTCTGTGTCCAACATTGTAACCCATGTACCACACCGGCTTTTTCTCTGCACAACCCCCCCCCCCCAAAAAAACTGGTCCATATGGAAAGGTAACTTGTGAAAATATAGCTTAGGCTTCTTGATATGCTGGTTGGCCACATTCAGTAAATTGGGCTTGTTGCATGGAAGCACATTCCATCATGCAATCCCCTATATTCCGGATAAAGTGGTACAGCCCTGACATGGGTTTACCACTAGAGAGAACTCTGCTTAGTAAACAGCTCAGTGCCTGGAAAAGCTTAGCCACAGGTGAATGCAAAGGAGACTCACAAAGTAGTGGTTTTGTCTGTCAAAAGTAAGTGCATGTTCTCCTTACACTGACATGTAATAAAAAAGCAATCTTAAATCAATTTCAGTGGTTGGCATTTTTTCTCTGTCCTGCTTCTTACATCATTTTCTCTTCCCAGTGACAGAACTAAAGGCAGCAAGTTATAATATAGACATTACAGGCTCAAAAATGCGTGTGAACTATGTATTATGCTTCTTTACTGCAACTTCCCATGTTATGAAAAATTAAGAGGCAGTCCTGTTTGTTCCAAAGTGCTTACACACAAGAACTACAGGACAAAGACAGCAGTTCACAAACACTCACTTGGCCTTATGAGGATCTTCTATTTCCAAGTCCCAGACGTAGAGTTTGCCGACTTGATTGCCCAGCGCCAACATCTGGAACAGAAGAGAAGATGCAGATGCTGAGCAACACAGGCAGAGTCCAGGGCTCTGAAAGTGATTGTTCAATATCACACTTTACATGCTTGCAACGAAGTATAGCAATAAGCAATAATTCCTTTAGTTTTCATAGACTGAAGGCTAAACTTTCCTAGAAAGACGATTTATGTGCAGGAAACTGGAATGTGGGGACTTCTAATCCTTGCACCAATTAATTCATTCGCCCCATCTACTGCATTTTAATGATTACAGGAACCAAAGGATCAATATAAGGGCGTATACACTTAGTTCTTGAGGTAACCATCATGGGTGGATACAACTGTGGTTCATACGAGTAAGTTCCCAACTCCTCTGACATGGTTTCAAGGAAGCATTTGTGTAATCAGAACCCTAAATTCCATCTTCTAGCACTCTTCCTTGTTAGAATATTTTAAAAATGAATTATCTAGTATGCAGCAGGTGGAGTTTTTCCTCTCATTTCCTTCTAATCAGATCCCCCTCTTCTCTTTGTCAGAAATAATCGAGATTCGAGGCAGCATGCAAAGAAAAGCATGGAAGAGCATATGCAAACTTATGTAGCCTGAGTGCACATGCTTAGATGCCTGACTTTGAAATATAAGCAGCACTGCCAGGGAAATTCACTGGGCAGTCTGCAGGCGCACCAAACTCACTGAAGGTCACTGTTCGGTCCCCTAAGCCTCTGCCTCTCTCCTACTCCTATTATACACAGTTAACTCCAGATGCACCGGCACCATTCTTCCCCTTCAATATGTGCACACACATATGAAAAATCTACCACACACTTCCAGCTGCCTCACAGCTATGAAATCTACTCAGGCACAGTTTCATACACTCATGCCTGTTCCTATCCTCCATTTTGGCCCTTACCTTTTGCCAGAAATCCATTGAAAATCTCATATACCAAATGTCGCACTGACTGTAATCAAATCGCCCTAAAATAGTCACGTTAGACTCACTGGGCTTAATTTTATCTATATCATCTTCCATTTTGCCAGGTTTCCAGCATACAATGGCATTTTCACAGGACTGTGAAAAGAAGGACAAAAGTGTCAATACAAACCACAAAAGACTCCTATTTATCCGCTTGTTGGGTATGGACCATTCAACAAAGACAATCAATGCTATTTTATTGTGGAGAGAAGCGAGCGACATGCTGCCTGGATTAAAAAATGCCCAGCAATGTTAAAGTCATTGAGAGATAGACCGAATTGCCAAATTTTCCTTTGGAATCAATTAAATAGCTTTTCAGCCTTCTTCTAGAAATCAAAAAATAACCAAATAATCAAAACTGTTTTTAAAGTGGAAGACATCATACCTTGGAAAGTATCAGATCGCCTAGCCATCGCACACAATCCACATAATTTCTGTGAATGTCCCTTGTAGAAAAGTCAGGAAAGTGAATTTTTTGAGAAACGAATGGCCTGCAGAGGAGAGAATTGTCACATCCAGCCATCAAAGGGGCAGTGGCCGTGTGGCCAACATACAGCGCAGTGATCTCAGGATGCAATGGGGGCCAACGTCCCCAAGAGGCTAAACAATGTCTACTTACTCAGCAGTAGCTCATTAACTTAACTGCCTATGAGCTCCACTGACCTTAATGGCACATGCTGAGTTGACAAGCAGAGGTGCTGCCAATCAATCTAGCAGTGGTGAAAAAGCAGTTTCTGACTGGCTTAGAGACCTTCTCATTTCTAGACCCAGCCCCTTACTGGTTTTCCATGAGGTTGCTACATCATTGTAATTGAGAGCTTAAGAATGTGTGGGGGACAAAATATCACATAGATTCAGGCTTGTCCTTACCTGTTAGTTTTATTGGGATTATATTCATATGACTCCTTGATCGCATTCATCATTCGCTTTGAATTGATCCGCCAAAGTTTCAAGGAGTGATCCATGCCGCAGGACATGATTTTCTCACCAAGCAGGTCATAATCCTGGACACATATTCAATGTTGTAGCTTTACATTTTGCATCCAACATTAAAATGAAATCAGAACCATGGTCAAGCCCACACTGAAAACCCCAGCTGACAAATAACTGACACAATTAAGCAGACCTATATTAATTGATCTTGCAAAGCTTATCTTGCGTCAATGATTCAGTCAACAAGGAATTTTGAATTTGGCAAAAAGGGGGTTAAAGGGAAATGACAGAAGTTTTCAAACTGTTCAGCTCTATTCTACTTACTGCACTTAAAACTTCATCTCTGTGTCCTTCTACTCCGCCAAATATTGCAACCAAAGTGTCTGTCTGAATGTTCCATAGTCTCAGTGCGTGATCTAATAAAACATGACAGGTTAAAGTGTGTCATCCAGACAAATCTAACTATTTCTGTTAATGACAATTTAATAGAACTACATATTATGATTAACTGTATCATTCACCCTAAAACATATACACAGGATATACTGTGGAGGGCAGCACTATTTGGAAACCTTGGCTGCGGTCAAGGAAATACCTTCATACTACCTTCATACTAACTAAAAAGTGTCTACACTCATTATCTTGTAGTTCTTCTACCTTGAAATGTATCAGTTATCCAGGAAGGAACGACGAAACATTAGATTTAGCAATGCTCTGTTCCTCACCCTCTGTATCAACCCCTCTAGCTCTTTCAGATGTCTACATTAGGCTTTGCTATTATCCTGCATTGTGATGTAAAGTTACTTTTCGACAAAGTCTCCAGCCATAAAGGAGGCCCGCAACAAAGGGAATGTAAGCCAACATGCCTTCTCTTGTACAACACATATAGACTGGGGCTGGAGCCCAACCACAGGATCCTTGAAGAACTATTTGTTTATCCTTGCCATTGGACAGGTCAGATATAATTGGAAAATGTCCCTACCCAAGGATATGAAGAACTGTTCAATTTCAGACCAATAAGCAGGCAGCAACGACTACATGATACAGACCAGTGGTCAATTATGTTATTTATACATGTATTTATAGGCCAATTATAACTGCCGAGGCCTTCCTGTTTCATTCAGAAGGCCATCATTTTAAATTCCTTTTAGCCTGATTACAAGGAAACTCTTAAATGGTCACAGTGTCAAAACTGACTGCTGTTGTATTTATATAAAAAGCTGGGGGAAGTTCAGTTCAGAACTGTTTTTTTTTAAACTTTCAGTGTGTTTTGTTTGCAAAAGGAGCTATGCTTCTACAAACTTAAAATAAAAAAGGCAAAAATGTAAGGTCAACTGCAAATATAGATAACACATTATACTGTGCTACCATCATATCTGGCGTCTTGCAGTTTTACTGACAACATATGCAAGTCCTGGCTCCCAAGGAATGCATACTCCAGGATGGACCTGTGGCTTCAGTACAGTTAGTCTTTATCAGAAGTAGCATCAACCTCGATTCGCTTAAAAACTGAGGCACATGCTTCCAGGCTCCTCAGATGGCTGTGCCAGAGATAGAGGAAGAAGTAGTTCATGAGCCGACAGCTTGCCCATGCTGATTCCAGCAACGTCGAACTAAGGTTCAACTGTCCACTTTAGTGGGACGTCTAGGATGCACAAGTCAGTGGTGAACAGAAGACAAAACGCAGGAAAACACTGTTACATGTATGTAAAAGCTGCTTGGTTGAAACACAGTGGATTGCTGTACTTTCTGTAATAAATTAGCTGGCCCTGGATCGAGCTGCTTGCATTTGGGGGGCATTTTTGATTCCGCCCTTTCCCCACTGCCACCTTTTGCTATTACAGAACAAACCCGCTAACAGATCATTCCTAAACTTTTAAAAGGGATCCATTATTGTACCTTTGCTTACTGACAGGAGGAGATTGGGATCTCTGGGATGAAATTTCAGTTCATTGATGGCATTACCATGGCCCACGTAATGCTACAATAGAATTCAGAAATCAAGTTATTCCCTCAGTGGTGCGCTCTGCATTTTGCATCAAAGAGAGCCACTTTTAAGTGTGCTGTGTGACATCTTGAATCAACTCACCTTTATGCACTGCATTGTAATTGGATTAATTATCCTAATGATGCCCCGTGATCCAGCCACAGCCAGGAGCGGATGGCTGGTGTTGCTGTCATAGGTCCATGCACAAGTATAAAAGTTTTCATCAGCCTGAAACATGCAATTAAGGACTGTACATGCCACAGTGGAATTTCTCCCTGTTCCCCATCAAATACTTAAACAATACTTTAAAATGTGCTGGTTTAGAAAATGCATTCAAACTGGTATTTTAAGAGGTAGGTTGTTTTTGGTGGAAGTGTGGCTTATTCTTTACAGCATTTCCTTGCTTAATATTGCATTTGACACAAAATAAAGACAAGACAAAGGAGAGCCAAGAAGATTAAACAACCACAATCTGCCTGAAGATTAAGCAACCACAATCTGTCCGAATGTTATTGCAATTAGGATGGTTTGTGAGTGTTTTTTAAATTGGAATTTTGCTATAATTCATCATTTGCCATCTCTTTTCACAACTGAAGCAGACAAAGGGTCTCAAAGTAAACCCTGCAAAATGAAATGCAAAAGCTTATGCCAGAATACATTCGTTAGTCTTTAGGGAACCGCAAGACTCCTTTGGGTCACTATTACGGGGTGGGGTGGAAAAGCAGGATTTGTTCAGGGCCACCTGAAACCATCAGCTCTGCCACCAATCCCTGTGGAACCAGATGATCAAAGAACAGTGAGGAACAAACAGGAAGATGAGCACTGCTCCCTGCTACAGGTATGTAGACATGAGGAAAAAGAGGACAAAGGAGAGCAGTCAGCCCATTGGTCAGGAAGAGGCTACTTTGCTAGGAGCACCAAAATCCATTGTGGAAGGCCCTGGTTAGTATCAGTAGTCAGATCTTGATAGAAGCCTCTTCTATGCTGGCCTTGTTAAATTAGGAGAGAGAAAAATCTTCTGAAACTGATGCTAAGAATAAAGCAAGTAAAGGATACATCAGCATCTACATAGGATTGTAATAACCGTATTTCTCCTTGTGAATGGCACTCATATAAGGTAACCTGGATGTGGACAAAGCATAACAGATTAATGCTCCAGATTCCTAAGGCTACACTCTTCCTTGAAGAGCAGAAAACTCACCAAATTGCTCAGGTTAGCTTTCACTCTTCTGCCGCTGCAGGTGGAAGGACAGAAAATGACTTCTCTATTTGAATTCCTAGCATACTGTCAAGGCAATAATTTGCTTAAGCCATCCTCACTCAGCCGCACTCAAATCTTATGCTCTGTTCATCTGGTTTTACTGTTGTGCTCCTATTCAGGCGCAGGCATGTCCATAGGGAAGACTGAAAGTCAGTCTCAGGTTCATATGGTTCATTTCTGCAGTGAATCAGCAGAGGAAGGAAGTCCAAATATCAAGCACATGCATTTGTGCTAACAGGTAAAGAACTAAAATGAGCTGCACTGCGCAAGAAGCTTTAAAACTTCACTTTCACATCATTTAAATGTGCTGCTAAGCCAGGGGCATTTTCAAAAGCACCCAGAGAGACTTTCTGACAGTTTGCTACAGGTGCAGTGTTTTTTCATTCGAAAGCAGCTTGCACATTCAAACTCTCAAGCACACCTCCAACAGAGTGTGCTCTGCCCCAGCGCATGCGCACACATTTCCAGGATTAGAGCCAGCAGCAAGAAGATTGACAATGTACCACACTACCACATCACAAACTGCAGGATCCAGCTTTCAGAATCAGAAGAGCTACCTACCTTTCAGAAAAATACAAGCTATATCCCTACATTTTTAACATAAGGGAGAAGGGGGGGGGGAAAAGATCTCAGAAGCAGGTTAAGGAGGACTGAAACACAAGACCAATTCTAAAGTACCACTCACTCGGTTGCTACCAACAGTGGCAAACACCAGGGGATCACCCTCCTTGCTGTGCCAGTTAAACTGCACCCCGAACAATGGCTGGCTGTGATCCTCCTGAAGAGAGAAAAAAACCCACAGAGAGTCAAATTACAAAAACCATCCCATATTCAATGCACTGGCATTCTCACCAACATTTAATGCAATTACTGCACTACGGGTGCATTTTTCACCAGCCAAGAACTACTTTATGGACATACACAGGATGCTGTTGAATTCGCTTCCTCCTAGCGACACCATTTTGGAACACTAAGTTGTTTTAAGGTGCCATCAAGCAGCATGTTTTACAGCCCATTTCAACAACAGCCAAAAGAAGGACACCACTTGGAGAGAGGTCAGGTCAGTGGTAGAACAGGAGTTCTGTACGCAAAAGATCCAAGTTCCATCTACAGTATCCCTGGTAAGCCTAAGCCAAAATCCGTCCTGAAAACATAAAGAGCCACTGCCAGTCATTGTCAACAATACAGATGGACCTATAGCTTGGCTCAGAATAAGGCAGTTTCTCATGTACCTGATCCACAGGCAAGGTATTCTTATGCAGTACAGAGGGGGGGAGTTATTTTTGCTAGCATGCCCATATCACAAATAATCAACAGTTCCCCACCAAGACAAAACTTTGTCCGTATTAGCAAAAAGTAAGAATTGTCCCTTTCCTAAACTGCAGAGATTGAAGACCATCGTCCAAAGCCATGCCATTATTTTCCCCGTCTAACCGGTTCAGCTGTTAGAATTTGAATTCATAAGGTGATGCTAGCCAGAGTGAATGGTGCCCAGCTTATATCAACCAAACTTTTAGACAAGATATAAATACAGTTGGCATAAAAAGTAGTTAAACAGCCAACAGGTTTGAGTAAAAAAATAGCAACCACCACAGATAGAAAGAAACTAAACAAAAGCACCTCCTAATTCAATGCTGAAGGATTTATTCCAGTTTCAATGCAGGATTCAGAAAGCTAGACAGTTGGATAATAGGGACTAAGGAAGAGAACTGACATTTCCAGTATGTCAAATTGTGTTTCAGCAAACCCATGGAAATAATGACAACCAGCTCTAGTCAAAATAAATATTTTAAGGTGCAATCTTATGCAAGTTGAAAATAAGGAAAACAGAAGAACCCTTTTCTGTCTAAACAGACAGAGGATTACATCCTTACGCGTGCAATAGTATTTTCATTAGGAGAAAGACCACCACTTTGGGGTGGTCATATGCATGCGTGAAGCATCAATTCCTAATGCCTTCAATGAAAATAAATTTCATTTATCAGTGGCGGAAAAAAAGGGAAAAGGAAGGAACCTCTACCCAGGAACATGGAGAGCCATCATCCATCAGTACAGACACTACTGAGCTAGCAAAAAGTTCTTCTTTTAAGTAAATTCAGCCCTGGTTATATTTACTAAAACTGCAACAGGAGTTGTGTGTGCATAGTACTTGGCAAAAAATACTATGGTTTTTCAATGTATAATCTACATCATGCATATGTAGCATTTGGCAGGGAAAGGAAGGAGAACAGAGAAGAAATAATTGCAAAATAATTGAGCTTAGAAATCCATTCGGAATTTGTCTCTATTCAATGCTTCTTCGCTCTGTTATGGTTTTGGCATTCAGGCCTATGCACCTTTAGAGTCTCTCTTTAATCTTCAGCTGCTGATCTTAGCCATCCAAAAAAAGAGAAACACACCCTTCCATTTCCTGTTACTTGTTAAAATATAACTGCTTTCCTGTTTTTCAAGCTTCACCTAGACACACCTCCTACAAAAATGTACATGAACATTTAAAATAGGCATTGAGACTGACCTAGGACAAAAAGGTATTTTGTGCCTGAAAAGAACACTTCCCTGGCATCCACCACCAAAAGTTGTCACGTTAAAGTTTAGACCTTGCTAGTTGTATCTATGAACTCACGTAGCAACTTCTCCACTGCAATAACATACTGAAGCGTCTTTAACTCTCCTTCCATTTTTTCTCCTACAAGCAGAATTTGTCACCTAGCTTAGCATGTGGATATAGCCGCTACTTTTGATGGGTTTTTAAAAAAAATATGAAGCAGATTGCATACATGCACGGAAGATGTCTGCTTATCTACTGCTATTCGTTGTAACAGGAACAGGGAGCTAAATTCAGTGGCAAGGGCATGTGTAGCAGGCCGAAGGTGCCAAGTTCATTCCCTGCTATCTTCAGGTAAGGCTCTCTCCCTGACAACCTAAAACTACCGAGACAAATGGACTGATAGTCCAATTCAGTACAAGGCTTCTTCTTATATTTCAGCCTCCGTTGGGGCAGCATTCTCACAAACAAAGGATGCTGGAGACTATTATCTCTTATCACCCCCCCCCCCCCTTGTAAATGCCTACAGTCACTTAGCTAGCTGCTTCTCAGAACAGAATGCTGGACTAAACAGGCCTTGGTTTGATCCAGTAATGTGGTTCTTAGAATCACAGCTTAAGAAGAGAAAGCCATTGCTATTTTTAATTGTGACAGCAATATGCATTCATTCTAATATATCTTCATTTTTAACATAAAAGCAAATTTGATGAGATGTCTACATTTGCAAGTACCTTGAGACTATTTACACATTTGAAGGAATATTTGCATTTCTTTGACTTCCATTTTCCTTTGCCCCAGCTTTTTCTCCCTGGAGCATTGGGGGTGTTCGTTGGAGTGTCAGGGCGTTCTGTGTTCGTACCACTCTCTATGCTAACAGCATCATCCTGAAAACATAAAACAGGTTGACTTTCAGAACAGAGAAAGATCCAGACACAAAGCAGAAGCAAACTAACTTGCCAAAGTGTAGTGACATACACTGTCTGGAATGTCAAAAACACTTCTTCAGAAAAAGAGGGCCATCCATCCATTTATTTACAATTTCTTATATACTGTGTATTATTATAAAATCTCAAGATAGTTTATTAGAAAGTCAGAAAAATATAAATACATATTAAAACCATATTACAACTGTAAGATGGTTTAAACTCCTCAGTGCACATAATCGCTTCAACTAATTAAAATACATTATTGATTTAAAAACTGGGAGAATAAAAAGGGTTTGGCCTGGCACCAAAATGAATAAAGCATTGGCGCCAGGCGTACCTCTCTGGAGAGTGAGTTCCATAATCAGGGCACTATCGCAGAGAAGCCTCTCCGCCACATGACCACCCTCAACACTTCTCTCAAGGGCCAGACAATTTGGACTTCTAGACAATAAAGCCAGTCTCAGTCTCCTACTTTATAATCTTGCCATCTATAGACAAGAACAATGGACATCTCTGTAACAAAGACCAACTCATTTAAGTGCACAATCCCATGCATGATTAGATGGCAAAAAAGGCCTGTGTCACCCAACATTCCCTAGCCAGGCAACTGCTGAAAGTTGCGCGCCTTCTTTTCAGCAAAACATACAGAGGATCACAACTTTAGTGCAGCATGAGCTTCCCTGGAGTAAAGTCTCATACATCAGAGTAACAGAGAAGTCTCCATGAAGGCAAAGAAACAGGAAAGGCTCAAGTCATGGGATACATCCAATTGGTTCTCCCCACTCACAGAACGCAACTTCAGCGGAACACGGTGTACTGCAAAAAGCGCCACTTCATTATTGTTATTTTTTGTTCAGCTGTCCTTGGTGGTGGAAATTTGATGCAACTGAGTTTTTTTCCTGGACCGGGATTGGTCCATGGGGTTCTAAGAGGGTTTGACTGTTAAAGGGGATAAGGAGTTAGTTAGGTCAGTTGGAAGTCGAAGAGATGAGTTGGGCTGGAAGCTGAGGGGAAGTTAGTTTATTATTTTGGTGTGTGCTAGTCTGATTGTTTGACTTGGTCTGGGAGGAACTGGAGCTGGAACTGTTGCTGTATGAGAAAATAACTCAAATAAATTGGCTGGATTTTCTTGACATGGGTAACTGCTGCTGCCCCATCTGAACCTAGACTACTTTCTGCAAGGTGGCTTGTTTTCAGAGACAACTCATGGCTTATTCTATGGATCATTAAACCCACAATGGGTTGGTGACTCATCGCACATGGGAGACTGATTCCATGGCAAACAGGGAGTGAGCAGTTCAGCACAAGTGGCACAACAACCCATGTCGCTCTTACCAAGCTTGCCTATTCTGCCACCACGGACAGCCAGCAGCAGCTGTTCCCCTTATGCCCAAGCGGCACTTTGGAGTGAACATCATCACTAGCTTGCCACCTTCTGCGGTTGGTACAAATGTGCACAATTATCTTTGTAATTTTGTATCATTACCTTTAAGTTTGGTTAGTCTTTTGGAATTGTTTGCACTTACAACTGTCAAGTGCCCCCAATCTTGTTTGCACCTAGTCTTGGCTGGTCTATTACCTTTCAGTGACAACTGTCATAGAATAACAGTAAGGAAGCAAGGCTACATATGAGCTAAACTGTGAACAGTTCACAGCTATCAACTGGAATGTGCCAAAATATGGGAAAGAAACCAGGGAAGTAAGTGCACCAGAAAAAGATGGTCTGCAGACCCTACCTTTAAATGCACATATAATCCCAACAACCTAAGACAACGATTTCATATGTTTGACAAAAAGGCTTTAAACTTGGGGTTTTTAAAGAGGTCTCTATGTCCTCTTGCTTTTGATGCAAGAGACAAACATAGATTCCTCTCTGAAATTAGGCAACTATAGGCACATCCACCAATTTCTGCTTACAAGTTGTTACTAAGAAATGTGCAAAGTTAAAGCACTCCACAAACAATGCCCAATGAATTCATCATTTTTAGTTTCTATTAAATACTTGAGGAGCTTTTATCCATAGAAAACTGACATTAAATAGGTTCAGATTATCTCAAGTGCAGCAGTACAAAAGAACTTTAAAAAGAGAATATGAGTACATGAATCAGCCTACTGTTGCTTCATGTACTCTAGTATAGTTTCTCCTGACCTGCAGTGGCTTCCAAGGTCTCAAAAATAACTTTTCCCAGACTTTCTAGGAAATGCTGGGACTGAGTTTGGAACCTGTTTCCTGCAAAGTACATGCTCTACAACTAAGCTACAGTTCCTCCGCAAAATTAAAACTGGGTAGTCCACTTCATAGCTAAGAGATAGCCACTATGCTACCCCACAAATTCAAATAAAATGATAGTAGAGGGTGTTTCTCTAGGTTTTAGAGCAGATTTCCAATTCACCCTGGAAATAGTGTTAATTTATTTTATTAGTCATTAAAAAAGCTAATTCTATGACCATATTTTAAGGTTTCTTTCTCCACTCCCCAGGTGACACAATTTTTCAGCAAGCTGCGCTTTACAATAGTTGGGTGCACAGGTTGAAAAGTACCATTTTTGTGCATGATTTTCAGGAGGCAATGAATTAACGACAGGATTCCCCCTCTGTAAAATGTCTATGAGGGACAAATGTGAAATGGTGCAAAACATGAATGCCATTTGTTTCATTCTGAGAAGTGCCTTTCATCATCTGTATTTACTCCATTTTATACTACTCTTCAATCATAGTTCCTCAGTGGTATATCCACAGTGAACACTTCAATATTACACTTTTATTAATGTGTAGAAAAATGTTTATGTGCAGGTAACCACCAAGGTTACCTGGACATAACCTTGGCTGCCTATAACAGAAAAAATCCAGTAGAAAAAATAAGCCCTTCCGAAGATGTTCCCAAGTACCTGGATGCATAAAACTCCAGAGGATTTTTTTAAAAAACTCATCTGCTGTGAAGCAGATTTTTTCCTTTTGGTTTTATCTCACATTACTATACATAAGAACTGACTGTAGCCAGAGAAGGAAAGGATGAAAAAGTAATAAAATGAAGAAGTAAAATGTCATTCAGAGTAATAAATAAATAAATGGCTCTATTGTCCCTGGTGGGATGAGAATCACCACTACATCAAAGGGGTGGTGGGGGGGGGGGAAGCCTACAGAATATTTTAGAAGTGCTGCTGGAGGAAACCTCTAGCTGACTCTGTTCAAGAGCCTCTGGCAATGGGGGCGGGCAGAATAGAGTTAGGGATCATTAACTCAATTTAGGACATAATCCCATGCATGTCTAGTCAGGAAAAAAGTCTTGTAACTTCCAGGGTAATGCTGAGAGTTGTAGGATACTTTCTATTTAATCTTGCACAGAATTCTAGATTCTGTGGCTTAGCCTTCACTAGGATGGCAAGCCTATGCCCAGGATAAACCATTTTTTCAGAGTACAGGTAAGCTCCTGAAACTGAATATTCCATCATACAAAAATATCTAAACATGCAGAAAACAAGCAGCTCAGACACCTTTTTAGGTATAGCAGAGAAGACTGGGAGAAAATATTGGCACTTAGGGGAAAGAAGGTACACTTAAGTCTTATTTCAGAATTTCTTGTTTTCTTTCTACGGAGATGGATTTACATGTTTTGGTTCAGAGAAGATAGTTAGGCTATAAACCTAGGAGGACAAGGATGAAGCTATTAGTCTACCCATATTTACCACACCAAATAAAAGCAAGCTACCTAGCTATGCCCTGAAAGGCTGGCTTTCTGCATACAGAAACTGGCGTGGGTGCAGAAAGCATGTTGCAGAAGAAAACGCCAGCTTAACCCTTTCCCAAACTTGCCAGCTTCCTCTCTGCAAAGTGTGATGTGCATGTGTGTAGACCACTAATTTAGCAACATGGATGGGGGGGGGGAGCACTGTCACGGAACCATGGAGGGGGTAGAGCACCTGCCTTGCATGAAGGAGATCCTAAACTCAATTCCCAGCATCTCCTGATAGGACTGGAAAATTTCCCACCTGAATCCCCAGAAAACCACTGCCAGCCAGCATTGACAATCCAGGCCCGGGGGATCAAGGGTGATTCCACAGAAGGCAGCTTCTTCCTCTGTTCCTTTGACATGCTAGCTTTCTACATGCAGGGCCCTTTTCTTTTCAGGACATGCACTCCACGGCCCCGTGACACGAAGCAGCACGGCCCTGGCACAGATCGGCCACCCCTCGGTGAGGACCAGGCCCCACATGAGAGCAACTTCCTGCACTCCAGAAGCCCCAGAGGCACCACGCACCCCCTCGGAGAGGAAGGCAGCCTCGGGCCCCCGCGGGCTCCAGGACGCCCCCAAAGGAGGACGCAGGGAGGATGCATCACCCCCCGGGTCCCCACCACCCCCGTTGCTAAGAGACGCGCTAGGCCGCGGGCCCGAGACCCCCTTTCCTCCCGCGGACGGCCGGGACAGGGACGGGGAGCGGGGCCTCCCGGAGCCGCTCACATTCTCGTCGCCAGACAGGTCCCCGGGGTTGCTGTTCTCGTCGCTGCTCAGCTTCTGCTTCTTCGCGGGCATCTCCGCTCCCGCCGCCGCCTCTGCCGCCTCTCCCCTGCCTCCTCCTCTTCTCCGCTCGGACATCTTTCCCCGCCCCCCATGGCCAGCAGCGGCCGTCAAGCGCGCCGGCCGAGCGCTCAGCCACTCCGCCGTCAAGCGCGCCCTCCCTCGCCTGTCGCGAAAGACGCACTGCTGCAAACGCGAGGCAGGCGGCGCCGGCTCGCTCCGGACGTCAGGGAGCGAGTGCCTCGGGGCAGCGGGGGCGCTGCCTCACCTACAGCGCCGCGCATGCTGGATCAGGCCAGGGGCCTTCCTGCCCAGTGCTCCGTTCACACAGAGGCCTATCAGCTGCTCCTAGGAAACCCACAAGCCACAACACTCTCTTGCCCATGTTCCCCAGCCACTGTTCTACGCGGAAGTTCTGCCTCTGAAACTTGAGACCCTTGGTCACCTTGTGGTCTGAACTTGTCCAATCCCGTTTTAAACCCATGCAGATGTTTTGGACGACAGGTTCCAGCATTCCTGGCTATTAGCCATGTTGGTTGGGGTTGATGGGAGTTGAAGTTGTTCGCCTATAAAGCATGCTGGAGCAGACCGGGAGCACTCGGTCCAGCATTCAGATTGCTCAGCAGCCACCCGGTGCCCCTCAGAAAAGTGACAAGCAGGACAGGAGTCTCCCACCCCTGTTCCCCAACTTGTTTGGGGATGTTAAGCATCTTCCTGGGGCAATCGTTCCAGCTCAGCTTGCTCTGGCTTGAGATGCATGGCTGCTGTTGTAATACACTTGCAGTTGGAATGCTCACTTTAATGTGATTTAAATGGGATATTGAAACATTCTTATCCTGGGAATCCCACTTATTGAGCTCAATGGGATTACTTCCAAGCAACCATAATGAGGCAAAAGGACAAAGAATCTTGTCATACCTTAAAGACAGGCACACTTTTCTGGCATATGTGAGTTACAGGTCACTTCAAGACTGTTGGTTTTCTGCAATAGTTACCCATCTAGACAATATTTGGATATGCCCAAAGGTATGACTTTTGACACCTAAGACATTCTTAGCAAGGGAATACATCCCATTTGAACTTGGCTGGACTTCTTTTTAGAGTCATTTATTTATTACTTGTTCAGAATCTGAATCACCACCCTACTCAATGAACGTTGGAGCACTGTACAATAAAAACGTTTAATTTGTTGTTGTTGTTAATTTTATAGTGCCCAATAGCCAAGGCTCTCTGCATTAAGGTCATCCTTGTGGTTTCACATCATGCTTATTAAACACCATTCCATCCAGTGGGACAGAGTTTACTTTTGAGTAAATAAATGTGGCTCTGTTGGTTACAGGGGATTCAGTGGCTAATCATATAGATGACAGGCAACCCAACCCTTCCCTTCCCTTTAATGGGGAGCATTTCAGCCTCCCACTTAACTAATTAATTAAAAGGTAAGAGATAAAAACCAGGAGGGGCAGCAAACCTGGTATGCACTAAAAAAGCATCCATGGACATGTGAGTGTCCTATAGGCACCATGCTGAAAATTCCAGGGCTAATGAGTAGAATTTGAGAATGATAGTTAATTTCCAGAAGGCTTTGTGTACTGTGAAATCCATTCTTAGCCTTGAGCTCACTATGTAGCAAAATATATGTGTAAACCTCCTCACTGCAATATTGGAATCCTTCTGATAAAACTGTGAAGATTGCAGAGGTCGTCTGTGTGCTCCGTACACCCAAACTGGGATGCTATACAGACTGATCCTAGCCATGTTTACTCAAAATGTATGTCTCCTTAGATGTAAAGTGTTCCTCCTAAATTCCACTGAACTCAGTGGAATTTCCAGCTTACTATAGTAAACATGTAAGATTAGGCTACAAAACAAATCTACAGGTGAAGCTTTTCCTTGAATGAAAATGCATCTGCAAGACTGTCACTTGCTAATTCCAGCCTGTCACCTTGCACCAAACATTCTTTCCATAAAACGATGCAAAAATGGGCAAAAAAAAATCTGCGACAATTTAATTAAAGGATCTTTCTCAAGAAACAATAGATATGAATAGGGATACTGATTGGTGGGTGTCAATGAATTTAGTCGTGCTAGATTGACAATATTAAGTGAAAGAGGGAGAGAAGATACAACTCTCGGCTTGTCCCAGCCAGCTGTGCTTTTGTTGTCTAAACATGCATAGGATTGTGTCCTTAATTTAATTGTCGTAGAAGCATTTTGTTGTTGTTATATTCCCTCGGATAGTCTCTGCCTTATGGCAACCGTATGACTGAGGGCCGTCCAGAATGTCTTGTCCTTGGCAGCCCTGCTCAGCTCTAGTCAACTCAAGGCTCCCTTAAGGGAATCCATCCATCTTCCCCTTCTTCTGCCCTCAAATTTCCCTAGTATGATTTATTTTTTTCAATTTATATCCTGCCTTTTTCCTACAAAGGGCTCAAGGCAGCTTACATCTCCTCAGCCATCTTATCCCCACAACTACAACCCTGTGAGGTAGGTTGGGCTGAGAGTCTGTGACTGGCCCAAAGTCACCCAGTTGGCTGCATGGCTGAGCGGGGACTAGAACCCAGGTCGCCTGAGTCCCAGTCCCATGCTCTTAACCACTACACCACACTGGCTCTCGAGTATGATCACCTTCCCCAGTGAGTCTTGCCCTCTGGTCATGTGGCCAAAGTATGATAGCTTTAGTTTTGTGATGTTATCTTCCAAGGAAACTCTGGCTTGATTTGATCTAGGACCAACATGTTTGTCATTTGGTCGGTCCATGGTATTTGCAAAGCTCTCCTCCAGCACCATGGTTCAAATGCATCCATTTTCTTCCTGTCCACTTTCTTCACCATCCGGCTTTCACACCCATACATTGCGATGCGGAATAACACACTGTGAATGATCTTGGCCTTTGTTTCCAGTGAAACATCCTCACTCTTGAGGATCTTGTTCCTACATTGCTGTCCTTCTAAGTCTGATCGCAGACTGATCTTCTATTTTACCATATCCCCCCACTCTATACCCTTATGTATATTTTCACCTTCCAAGTGAGAATTCATTTCTGCATTTGATGAAATGGGTTCTTATCCATGAAGCCTTGTGTCGTAATAAACTTGTTCTTCTAAAGGTACTGCAAGACCCTCTGTTGGTTTTGCTCCGGACAGTAACATGGGGATCTCAAGGCACAGCTGGAGCAGCAGCACAGAACTTGTCTTGCAGATCAGAGCCACGTCCTTGGGGTATGCAAATCTCCACCTGGAAGGTAACATCTCCAGGAGTTCCTTTCCAAAAGAGCCTTATACTGCCCTCTCTTTGGTAGTTTTCTAGAAAAGGGTTTTTTAAGGCCTAATTTTTCCATGGGTCTTTAGAAACTGAAGCTGATTGCTAAATCTCATTTGAAGCCTATTTTCAAGATTTTTCCCCATTGCCTTTTTGTTTTGGTCAAGACTTTGCTTCCAGACGTGACGAATCTAAGTTGCATCAGCTTCTGATGAGCCTTCATGCATCACTTGTTCCAGTTATGGCCTGTACTCATGTTTTATTTGATCTAGGGCACAATGCTAGACATGTTTAGGCAAAAGAAAATCCTACAGCACCCAATATAATCCTACCCAGCCTATATAATCCCATCTAGTACAGCAGGCTCAGGAATGCTGGGAGATGTAGGGCTTTTTCTTGTCCAAACTGCACCTTCATAATGTGATAATTAATTTTATGTTATGCTAATAGTAACATAATTTTTAGATATTTAATTAGGAACTAATTCTCCCATAAAGGCTCTTCCTCCTTCCACTGTTACCACTATCAGGCATTCCATCAAGGTGTAACAGAAAAAAAAGAGAGAGAAGAAGCAAGCTCTCCCCCTGACACACACTCTTTTTTCTCCCACCCTTTTTTCCTTGTCTTGTTGGGAAAGTCCAAATAAATCCTCAAATAAAACAGTATGCTTTTGTGAGTCTTTAATATAAAATCTGGCAGCACTGCTCTTACTCCCCCTCCCCATCTGCAGGTTTTTTTCTGCAGTGGTGGGGAATAGCCTCGAGCCATGCTAATGATCCACCTGCTTTTCAGATAAGGCAAGCCCCTCTTTCTTTGCAATGTAAAAATACCTAGCCAGCTCATGCTTTGTCTTTAGGCAGCCCATGAGGAAATCTGCATCTCAGATTGCAAAAATGGCAACATTTTAAAACTGTTAGATTTCTGTATCTCCTGATGGTTTTATTTGTTATCTGTTACTCAAGCCTTGAATGAACCATGCTGTTTTTCCTGATGCCTAGAATGATTTCTGTATTATTCCCCATTGTCCCTGCCTATTCACACATTCAGAATTTCATCACTGCCCTGAAACTGCATACACGACCCACGACTTATAAAAAACTCTGTCTGTAATTTGGAAGCTCGTAGTCAGTTTGGTATGCTGGCTACCTGACAGCACTGTTGTATTTTTTTCTCTGTCAGAGAGGCAGATTGGGTGTTCTGCCAATAAACTACTGAAACTGAGCATAGCATCTTCCTGTGAATCCAAGGGAACATTCTCCTGGTTCTGCTAATGAAGATTTCCTGACAGTTCCATGAGTTTTCAAATATACTGCAACAGAATAACACAGCTTTCCACCAGGAACTTTTTAAGATGGCAAACCTGCAGACAGGGACTCTACTGCTTGTAAATAATCTGCTCCTGGAGCTATTTTGGCTGAAATCTATTAATTAGTCCAACCAAAATATAGTAATTAAATGTGCTCAGAGGTGTTTCAGAGTAGTAGTAGTAAATTCATTTCTATACCACCCAGTAGCTCGCTGGGTAGTTTACTCTCAGGTAAATGTGCATAAGATTGCTGCGTGGTATAAATATCAGGATCTTCCATGCTCCAGCTTGACTTATTTGAAGACAGTAGTTTAGGGCTACAGGCAGATATTCCTCATCTAGGCTGCAGATGCGAGAAGCGAGGACAATATTGTAGCAGTCTGCTTGCAATTGGCTGCAAGAAGAATTGGGCACGCCCTCTGTACAGCTTGGCATGAACCAATCAGTGCTGTCCTTTCTCCCAACTGCATTATTTGAGAGCATATGGATTTCGAATGTCTTAAGCCACATACGTAGAACAGTC